TTCATTATTGACAATAGCTATAATTAAATTATAGGCGATGTTGATGTTGTCAAGAAATTATACGTATTATAAACGAATAAAATCGACAAGCAGTGAAAGTATAGGGCGATATTAAATTTGTGTATTAATTAAACGTTTTATCGTTAAATCGCTGGAATAATAATAATATTAATACGATTTAAAGTTACAAAAATACAAAAGTAATAAGAAAAACTTAACGGTCTGCTATCGCAATACAGTGCAATAGTCTCTATTTCCGAGAAAAACAAAAAAAAAAAAAAAAAATAGTTAACTACATTATCGAAATTGCAACCATTGATAATAACACTATAAAATTTGTAAATTGTATTACTTGCATTTAATAGTTATGTGTATCGACGACACAAAGAGTACCTACCTAGTGGAAAGTCAACAATCGTGGATCGTGGAAACCAATATTATATTTTAATTTTCAATTTTTTTTTCGCCAATATTTAACATGAAATCAGCATGAATTCGATAGAATTTTAAGGTAAACATTTTATTATTAAAAAAATTTTAAAAGTTAAGTATATTATATTATACAAATATAATATTAATTATTCCACAGAAGTTGTACTTTTTATATAAATTTACTTTTTTTGGAGGTGATACAATTATTTTAAAATAGATCAGGAAAGGAGGGATAAGCATGAGCGTGCGCATAGGAGTGGCAGAAGAGGCGGCAGCCTAGTGCCTACCTTGCAATATTTTCCACCAAAAATAAAAACAAAAAAATATATTAGATATTCGTTTTTTTTTCTAAATATTAAACTCTAATCTACTCTTAATTGTATGTATTGACGCAAAAAGTGGAAGGGCTTTGGAGGATTTAGTCCCACTCCCCGAATATTCAACCAATCCTCCTAAAATAAAGTTTTCATCAAGTAAATACTAAGTATACATAATCAAAACTATTGGGACTTAACGCTTAAGCCAAGGTTAAGGTTTGATTTTAAAAATCATTGTATCCTCTGATAAGAAAACCTACACACGTCTTATAGGGATAAGTACCAGAAAACAGAAATAATTTTTTATTAAAATATTTATATTAAATACATTTATTTTGCGAAAGAAATTAAAAAAAGGAAAACGAAAATTTGTTTGTTATTATTTAAACTTCTCCCTTATTATACAAAGTTCAAATTCTGAAACTTCATATAGATAGGTAATGTAGAAAACATTTTTTTACCACCCTAAACTTTTTTATTGGAATAGTGTAATATTAAATTTATATTCTTTTTTCAAAAAAAAAAAAATGTAGATATTTTTGCACTCAAGGTTGAAGTAATTTTTTTGTTGGATCTTGGATATGATTATTATATAGGTAAATATTAGATTTCCAGCGAGGAGCAACGGTTGAGTCACTATAATTTTACAATGGTGTGTGTGTGTGTGTGTGTGTGTGTGTGTGTATGTGTTATTGTTTTAACTTTACTCTTTTCGTACATATACTATCGAAAAACTTCGGAAAGTTTCGTCCGGAAACTACCTATATATTTTATAGTTATATAGAGATAATTGAACACGCGCGTGATGCATGCCGCGGTTTTCAGAATTTATTGATCGTCATTTGTCTGAGTTGCCGAAAAAATATAATAATACACGGTGTTTCAAACGTCTTTGTCCTATTTCAAAAAAATGCATAATTGTCTAAAAAATGGAAGTACAGTGATGGGATGAAGAAAACAAACTAATCTTATAGTAATCAAGTTTTAATTAGTTTCGTTATAAAATGTCCGAAATGTCACTCACTGGCCAGCTGGCATACATCTATACAGTATTTAAATTTCATGTTTTTGTGCACACAAACAACCACTTTCTTGGAACGTTTGATGTCAATGTTGAATTCTTTAAGCAAAACTGAATGACCCGAAATGCTTTTTATTACGGATGAGTCGCCATCACGAAACAAACTGACAGCAGTTTGCTAATCATTTTAGAGGCACACAAGCAGTGGCAGTTTTACGAGGTAGGTCTGAATTCCGTGAATTGAACCACGTCTAAAAAATACCAATATAAGTATGCTGTGTAAATTTCGGGTCTCTACGAATATTTTTAACCGAATAACAAAGTGAAACCGCTATTTTCGTATCTACTTTTCCGTTTTTTTCCAATTATTAAAAAACTACACGGAAAATCAAAAAAAGAATTTTTTACTTAGACACTAGACAACATTTTCTTTATTTCTTACTCTTAAAATTTGGAGCAATATTTCTGGTTAAAAAAAAAATTAGAAACTGTTTAAAATAACAAAATTATTAAGGATGTATTTATAGGTTTTATTTTACTTCTTTTTCCGAATTTTTCCAATTGTTATAAAAACCTGTTCTAAAAATCTAAAAACGAATTACTTATTCACCAAGTAGATCGAAAATGCAACACAAAATAAAACTTGTCGTTTTTAGATTGAAACAACATTTTCGGTAGAGAAGTGTTTACAGACAGCAAAATACATCATATAATAAAACCAATAGATTTTATCGTCCATTCCATTAGTATATGGGTCGTTTACCTGCGATTGGCGATCGCTGAACTATATCAAGTCGTAAATCGTAATCGAATGAAGTCTTTTGAAACACCATGTATATTAGGTACTAGCTGTGACACAATAAAATATTAAATCCTCCGTTGCTCGGATATTCGGATGACGTTTTTCGAATTGAACGATTTGTGAAACGTGAGATTGGATTTATTTTTCATCGATTTTTGTAATGCTAATGGCTTAAAGCCTTAAAATTCGTCGTTCTGAAATTTCAACTTGGGTCATTCAAACCCCGTTAATTCGAAATACGACATATCAAGTCGAGAAGTTTATTTTTGTTTATAGGACGACAACAATTAACTGACGGTTTCTAAAATCACAAGAGTCAGTCCAAAACGATTTTAGGGATAAAAAACACAACTCGAAATTTTCTATTCGCGTTTGATTTCCGCTTCTTGCGGTTCTATGTATAAAGATTTGAATTTCCAACGGTTATGTTCAAAACACTTCGCACTTAATTCTCTCAAATTCTACTTAAAACTGTAACATACAATTTGCAAACTATTATTATATGCTATTAAATTTTAAGCTCGGTATTTTGAGCGAGAAGTGATAAGTACAATTTTAATCATATCAGAGAATCAATTAATTCGATATGTAATGATATTATGCATGCCTACATAATACTTATATTTACTTATAATTTATAAGGGCGTACTAACTATATTTTTTTTTTCTGGTAGATATACCTACTTATATTAATGACGTCAATCATTTTTAAACGAGCAAAACACATTGTACAGGCACTTTTACCGAAAAGTCGTGCTTCACCTCGATATTCTCTAACCTCGATAACTATCGATTTATGTTAATAACTTAAATAGGTACCTATTTCAAACACTGACAGGTTGCAGAGGCGCGCCGCGTGTGTTTGTGTTTAATGATTTAATATTATGTTCCTTTAGCCAAAAATGTGTAATGTATTAATATCTATGTGTTGATCTATAATATGACTTGATTGAGTTTACAATCCTAGTGTTAATTGTGTAGACATAACTACATAAGTACCTACCTATTAGTTTCCATATTTTACAATAATTTTATTAATACGATACCAATTAAATTAGGAATTTAATTCGCATCTAACCCCTGCGTGTTAGGTAGGTATGTACTAGAATAATTAATTCTGTTTATAGTACTATGAAACTATGCCACGATGGTTTGTCTTTGCTGTTAATTCTCGATTTGTACATCCCATTCTCGAAGGTATAATGTATTACTGCGTTACCTACTAAAATCGCCAATAAATTATGGCGAGAGATCTGTAATTGGGTATTTTAGGATGACCCGTGAACGGCAAAGATTCCCCGTAAAATTTAGTTCGAAATTCCAACACTCGATCACCGTTAAATGTCTGTACTTATATCTCACCCATTTTCCCGTGCAAGAGAAAGTATATTATAAAAAATATTACGAAATCGATGGTAATCATCAGTGTACACCCTATTTCTACGTGTAGCACCTTTTCTGAAAGGAAATCGGCGTGAGGAGGTACTTAAAGGAGGTCATTTTTTGATTTTCTCATCAAAATTGAAAAACCTGGATAAAGCATGGGAAAACCGGGCAAAACGTGGGAATATGGGAAAATCGGTACAAAATAAACAAATTTTACTTAATAAAATGTATAAAGACTATTTACTATTTTTTTTACTATAAAATGACATATATTGTTGACAAAACATCACTATCAACTGCACTCTGCTCAAAATCCTTTTTTTTTCGTAAGTAATGGTTTATCATTACTTACAGATATGCATTAAATTCTGGTCTATATCCTACCTTCCTAATTTCCCACCTACATCAGTGGCTGCACCCGTCCTCATTATATTACCTTTCTTTTTTACTAGCAATTCACTACGGTGTTACAATGTTAAAATAAAATATTTAATCAATACTGAATTTCGCATATTACATGATATTATTATAATGATACCTATCCTCCTATCATTACTGATGTTAACTCCCTCACAAGGCGTATTTTCAAGTTTTTTTTTTTTATATTATTTTTAACAATGAATAATATTTCTATCCCTTTGTCTTCCTAATGATGCTGGTTATAATTTAAATATAATATTATCTTTGTCCAGACTTGCCTCGAGCTACAGCTCAAATTATTATTGAATATTGAAATACTAAAAACGAAAACGTGCATGTGTACCAATAATTTATCGAATTATTTGTGTATTGAACATACAATTTCAGTTATAAATTACACAATAAGTACTGTTAAGTGCATGTTTTGAAAATAATTATTTTAGAATTTTCCCCTTCTTGAGTTAAAATTGCTTAGTTATAATTAAGTATATTTTTTAGACTTGATGAAACCGTTTATGGTTGTAGCATCTTAACTGTGAAATACAATTTTTCACACAAACAACCATTATTTTTTCAAAATTACCACTGAAAAAATCATAATTTTGAAATAATAAAAGTGATAAAGTTCAAACAAACAAAAATACAAAACATCAGAATTCTTAAAATTAGGTATCTTTTATTGATAAAATAGATTGTATTGTATTGTTAAATACTTTGATAATTAATTTAATACTAAAAGTCTTTAAATTTTGCTAAGTACATTTAATTCAAATATTTATAGTAATAGATACTGTAATGAGATATTAATAGTTGGAAAAAATAATAGTAAATTAATAATCACAAACTAGGAGTAAAATATAAGCAATCAAAGTGTCCAATTATGTACATTATTAACTGGATAAGTACTCTTCTGGTTCAGTACCAAAATATCTATCACCAAAATTGCCAATTCCAGGTAAAACATGAAACTTTTCATTAATTTCTGGGTCGACGGCTGATGTAACGATGCGCACTTGAGGAAATGCATATGCAATTGTGTGCACCCCTAAAAAAAATATTTAAAAACATTTAACAATATTATTACTACTGTTACATTATACTTGACAATATATTTTACATACCAGATTCAGCCATTAGTAACGATACCAATAAAATATTATCTTCAGGAACATCATGATCTAAAAGTACTCTAATGGCCATCATTGCGGCTGCACCAGTAGCCACTGTGGCGTCCATCAAAATAACCATATAGTCTTTAATATCTTTAGGTAGACGCAAATAATAAAGCTAAACATGAAAATTTTGTATACTTATTATATAAACCAAAATAAAAATTTAAATTACACACTTCTGGTTCTCCAGTAGATCTATTTGTTTGAATCAGAATTTTCCCAATACGAATATCTTTACAAACATCACAAACCGCTTGTTCCATTGTTTCTCCAGCTCTTAAAATTGAAACACCACATATCTTATCACTAGCACATCTTTTGCCAGAGTATGGTATGCACTGTGGAGTGTCTACAATAACATCCTATTTAGGTACAAACAAATAATAAATTAAAAATACTTTTCCATTAAATTGCAAGAAAACAAAAATGTAGTTTACTTTAAATGGCAATAGTGATAGTGCAAACTCAATAACTAATCTAATAAGCCGTTTGGAATAAAATATAAACTCATCCTTAGGCGTCTCCTTATTTCGAATAAACGTATGTAAACCTTGAGTTTGGGGTGTGGATGGCAATAGATGTATAGAACTGGGTAAAGGTTGACCTATGTATGACATTGCAAGTGTTTCTCGTAATTTGAATCCTCGCTATAACATTAAACATAACATAAAATAATAATAATTAATAATATATTTTTATAAAAACTTAAATGAAAAACAAATTTTTTTATAGAGTATACACTCACATTTTTAATTTGTTCCTTAAAATGTAAAACTGAGAAACTAATGGTCTACTTTGCTAATTTATGATTGTTTGATATTTAAACTAAAACTGAAACCATATTGTGTATAATATTACAATGATAATATATTAAATGATCCTATTAACAGTGATTATAAGAATATACATAAATCAGCTTATCATTGATAACATGTTTAAACGATTATAGACTATTTATTAACAAGCAAACAATGAACTGATACTATTTAAGTGTTATTAAACAAATCATGTGTAATAAACTAAAATAATAATAATAATAATAATGTATTATATTAGTAGACATGGAAATACGATGCTAAATACAATATTAATTACTTTAGATATATTTTGGTTTATTAAAATGTTGTAAATTTAATGAAGTACTACAAATTCAATTAGATAAAATAAAATAATTGCCAAGGTTGATATGCTACATTAAAATTAAAATGTAATTTTTTTAATTCTCATAATTCATAGTAAAACAAGTTTTGAGATTTCAATAAACTGCAAAAATAATAAAAATATATGGTGATCATTATTATATTAGGAATGTAATATCATGTTTAATTTTTCAAATTTAAAAATATAAATAATCAATTTTTTACTTTAAAAAGAATGCTAATAGAATATTTAGCATTTAATTGAAGTTAAACAAATTTTGATAACAGTAATAACATTTTGATTTACAAAAAATAAAATATATTTGAAATTTTGAATGGATATTTGCATTCAAATTATTACTATACATTTTTTTTTCAATTGAAATATATGATTATTAAATAACGTATGAAAGATTTGAGGTAGAATATTTAATTTTAAAAACAATGTTTACATAAAAAGTTTTTTCTGATTACAAAATTGATCTCAAGTTACTAAGAGTCAAACAAATTTGAGTTAATGCATTTTTTTTTTTTTTTTTATGAAATTTTAACTTTTGACCAATATAAATAATAAAATAAGTATCATAATTAAATATTATTTTTGGTGCGTGTTGTTGTTTTTATTTTTTTTATTTTGTTAACTGTATTTGTTAAATTAACAATTAAATGTATAAGTTCAAATTATATTCAAAACTAACTATACATTATATAAACTCAAATTCGACTTACTTAAACTTAGTCAATTTTTTAACTGAAAAATACTTTGCAAACAAAAATTTAATAAAAAAATATCATACCCAAATCTACAGAACAAAAATAGTGTTGCAATTTAAAAAAAAAAATAAATTGTATTGCACATACACATACCAGAAGTATTATGATCACACAGTAATAACTAAATAACTGCACTGCTCGTAAAATAATAGTTGAACAAGTTAATGTAATGTTTTACCATTCAAAGACCACATGTAGCTTAGTATACAGACCACAACTTGGTAAATATATTAATTAATAATAATAAATGTATAGTTGAACATAAATTATAAATAATAACAACCTAGACTGCCTTAAGTATTATACATTTAAAATGGTAACTAATTTCGACCTTAAACTATCTTTAAGTTACAAATTTAAAATATAAATAATATTACAATCTAGAAACTAACAAATAAACATATATATAAATATTATACTAGAACAACCTAAATAGCACACCAAGTATTTTGAAATAAAAAAAAAAAAAAACTTAAATAATAATTTAAATTAATAAATTTTAAATAATGTAAAAATCAATTCATGAAAGAATATTACTTATCAATATTAATTACACACGATTTACAAGAATTTATTCAAATTTTCACAAAATAATCACAATTAATTTTTGTCTCACTTAGACTAAATTTTGAAGGTAGCTGTTGGTTATTATTTTCAAATATTACAAAAACATTAAAATAATTGCAAAATATTGTTTTCAGATTACAATAGTATTCACTTTTAATCAACTATAACATGCTTACTAATATAATTAGTTTATTCAAAACAATAACTTTCCCAAATCCAAACAATATTTAAAATTTTTTAACAGATAAAATACTACTAATTGCATGTTTTACTAATCTGAAACACAACGATGAATAGTGTTTATACTATAAGTGTTTATTACATGAATACTTATTACTGCTTAATAGACAAAAAATTATATTTTTAAATGTATAATAGATTGAATACATTGAATAATCGCATACTCAATTTTCATATCAAAAGCAGAACCACTTTTAACGACAACAAAATCAAAATTCAATTCACCAAATATAACATTACATTAACAGTATCATTAATAACACTACATACAAAAATTATACTTTTTTTTACATTATAAAATTAAAATTTCTAGTTATTAATATTCTAAGTTAATTTGTGTTTATAAATAAATAACAAATATGTTTTATGATTATTATGAAGTATACTTAGTATAAAGTATATTTTGTTTGAAATGATTTATTTATTTTAATATATGAACTCTATTATCTAACTCAACATAATATTTTGTTTAACTTTTTTACTGTAGTTTTAAGTTTAATTAATATTTTCTAATTATATTAAAATAATTCAAGTAAAAATGTATATCTATGATAAAATTGTTTAATAACAACTTTAAAAACATCATCAAATTTTTAATTGCAAAAGTTACCAAATACTACAAACGTTAACAATACAATAATAATGGGTATACTAATATAATATATAATACTCTAATTAACCAATTAAATAAAATAATGTATTTATTATATTTTTGTATTAATTTAGGCTATGAAAATTAGAAACTTATATTTTATGAATTATATTATACTATATTAAAATTTATACTTGCGAGTTCTGACAAAAATTATAAAAATAAATTAACTCACCGCTTGTAGTTGTTTATGAACATGTCGAACAATTAATTCTATGGCAACAGTGTTATCACCACCACGAGGAACAATAATATCAGCATGAATCATGGATGGAGCAATATAATGTGAAAATGATGGTTTCACCATATTGCAATACTGTTTTAAAACACCTTGAAGATCTCTGCCTCTTTGAGATATATCTCTTTTTAATCTTCTTGCCAATCTGATATCAGAATCGGTATCTACAAATACTTTCATGTCCAGTAACTGTAAAAATACAAAATAAAATAAACATTTGATTTTATATAAATAATTAGGTAAATGTTTTACTAAAAATCAATTAATTTTTGTCCAAACAAATAAAGTATAATATAAAATAATGAGAATAATGTATAAATGTATCAACTGAACATTTAACTAATTCTTAACTCGATAATTTATTCAAATAAATATTACTTACCTCCAAAACTACTAAATTATAAAATGCCATAATTCCTTCAAATATTATAACATTAGCGCCATACATTGTTTTCTAAAATCAATTAATAGAATAATTATTTGTAAACAATTCATTTGCTTTATGATTTTCATTAGTTCTGTGGGTTGAAATAACAACAACTAATATAAATCAAAATAATAATTTAAGGTTTGAAAATAAATTAACTAGGATTAATAATTTAACTTAAATAAAATTCCTTACTTAATTTATTGATTACTAACCAAAAGTTGAATACCTTGAAATACCAGTAGTAACAGTTAGCAATAGTTTACCTTATATCCCAATTACAAAGAACAAATGTAACCATCACTTTAAGATTTGTATACGTCTGTTTAGGGTCAGAGCTTGTTATGATGGATATAGTTTACCACCATAAACCATCAGTGAATAGTGTTAAATTTATGTTTTTAAATGGTAATAATATTATAATTAATTTATCTTTTATTTATTAAAAATAATAAACTGTTTTATAATAAAATGATTTTAATAAATAATACATAGAATATTTTCTGAAAATTTAAAACAATTTCGAAAAATTGATAAATATAAATAAAATAATAATAATTCAACCAAAAAAAAAATAACAAATTACTTATAGACAGCTAATCTGTTCTTTATAAATTATAACCATGATAGGGATCTATTTTCTGAATTCCAATTTTCAGAAAATATTTTATAGAGTATACATTTACTAAAAGAGTGCTATAATTAAAGCTTTGATTTCAATAAACTTAGTACAGTTTTCCCAAGGTTGTTGTTTGATGCTCGTTTTATTACAAATTTTATTTTGTGTATTCTTAAATGAAAATAAGATTCTATTATCATTTTTTTTTTTTTTTTTTTTTTAGTACGTTTTTAGGTTTAATGGAAAATTACATTTCTGGCCCTAGAAATAAATTATAAATGATAACCCAATTTTTTCATTAAATAAAAGATAAATTAGTTAGTATTGTGTACCCATATAAATATATAGAAATTTTACACTATTTAGGACCCATGAAGAAGTTTCGTGAACTACACCAATCATAATTTGTTCTGGATAGTAGATGTTTAACCTGTTCTTTATAACCATGCCTAACATTACACTAAATGATAGTTTTACGACAAACTAATATTTTGTCAACATTCAACTAACAGTGACAAAATATTAAAACATTAAATTTAGACATTTCTGTTTATAAATTACTATAATAAGGAAGCAATTAAATGCTTACAGTTTTAGTTTCTCTAGCATGCGTTACAAAATTATAAATGGGCACTTCAACTTTCTTGCCATCCTTCAATCTTTGTAAAGTTTCAATTAAAAGTTCAAAATCAAATGCATCTGGATGATCAAAATTATACTCGTTATGGGCAGCTTTCTCGTGTTGTTCTTCAGTTAATACCTAATTATTTATTATAAATGTTGTGTTAATAATATGAAACATTTTGACATTTATTAATTTAATAACAGTTACTATTAAATTAAACCTTATAAAATGAATCCATGCTAAGCAATACAACCCATGGTACATTTAATGATTCTATTATTTTTCTAGCCACAGTTGTTTTCCCAGAAGCACTTCCACCACATACACCTAAATATTATGGTGTATACACTTAATTAGCTACATGACAAATTATACGTCTAGTGATATTGCATTTGTTACAAAAAAAAAAACGCCAACTATTCATATCCAATTCAATAATTTTTATAGGAACACACCAATAACAAATGGTTCTACTTGTTGTCCAGCAGTATTATACCATGGTGGCCGACCAGCTGTATAAATTGTGCGAGTATGTGACTGTAAAACTGATTCTGTAGCTGTTTTTTTAGTCGACTGGCTGACAGACGTTGTCCTTTGCCGTAAGGTTGACCGAGGCGATTTCACCAATACTACATCACAGTAAGAGTACATTATTATTATCTTAACAAAAATAACAGTAGTGACTATTTAATAAGTAGTTACACATAAGTCGGCAACACAAATATCTATGAGTAGATTACTGTGGTCGGCAATTAATTAAAATGTCTATGTTTGTTTAATAGTATAATTATCTAGTTCATAAAAATACATATGAATTTCAGAACAACTAATTTATAATAAGGATTGCATCAGCATTTACCAATAAAAATAACTATTTAACTTGTCACAATTAAATTGTTGAACATGTGTATCTTGCAGCAATTAAACAATATTTAATAGAATTTACATAATATTATTATTAATATTAATAATAATGTATTACCAGTGGAAGGAGCTGTAGTTGGTGTTTTTGATGGTGACATACTAGATGAGATTATACTATCACTTTCTTCATCATCATTATCTATTGCTATTGAAATGTCACCAACTAAATCTCGATATTCGGTCAAATCACTGGAAATAAATACAGAAATTACTTGTTTTGTAATTTGTATTTTTCATTTTTTTATTTTTAACATATGTATAGATTGATCATAATACAATTTGAGTTAAAAACAATTGAAAGTTAATATAACAAACTGATTTGTTATGAAAAAAACAAATGTTACTAAATTAAGAAAGTAGGTCATTTCGTTGATGTTTCAAGATAATATATAAATGATTTATTAACACAAAAACAACTGTCAAATACACATATTTAAAAAAAATCAGTATCATTAAATGATTAGAAAGTTTATAAACTGTAAAAGATCAACAATTACATAGGTATTCACTTAATTAATCAACTAAATATTTTAATTGTTGCTAATAATTTTTTAATTTTCATTTTACTAAAACCTATTATATATAATATATTTAAATTAAAATATATTAGTTATCACTCAAAACCAGTATGAATTACCTATCGGAACTAGCAGAACTTGGAGGATCGAATGGTTGTATTTTAGCAGCCATCGTGGACAAACAACTAATGCATAACAACGATATTGGAAAATAGGTGAACGATAGTAATAATTGAACTGGCAACACAAAATTGCATCACACTTTCACGAACTAAGTTACTGTAAACATGTTTTTGGGTACAGGTATCTTTAAAAACTACCGTATAGCTTCACGAAAGAGACCGCCGAAACGGACAAAAGATTATTTATATTTACAAAAAAAAAAGTGGGTACCTATAATATGAGGGGAAAAAACTCGTGGAAAGGTCGTGTAGTTTCTGGTGGATAAAGTACAACGATAACAATTGATAACACCAAAGTGATAAAAATAAAAAACGTACATAGTGCATGGAATAAACAATTAAAAACGATTCTATCTCAGGATTATTTGATGAAAAAAAGAAGTTAAGCTCCTTAGCAACGGATAAACTATCGGATATTAAAACTTCATGTTTTTCCGTCAATATAATATTATATTTTGTTTAATCAAGCCCAAGCAATACACAATGGCCAACAGTAAGTATGTTGTTTATTTTATTTTTTGTTGTTTAAAAAATGAAATTAAACATGTAGGTACAATAATAATTAAAGTATACAATCTACATAGGTTCCTAACTACCTAGTTATAGCCATGGTTATAACGTATTGTACTTTTATAGGGTAGGTAGGTAATTAATGGTTATAATGTACCCAAGTTATAGGTACATATTACTATCAGAAAAAAACAACCTGTAAAAAATTGCATAAACTAGCCTTAATAATTTTATGTATTTTTTTCCACAATGTTGTAATTAGCCAACAGGTTTTAGTTAAACAGATGAAGACCGTGCAAGAGTTGCGGTGAAGATAATATCATCATAATGATAGATAGATGGATACCTATTAATTACTTGGTTCAAATATTTGTTTTATATTTTTGACGAGCTATACAATAGTCTCAGTTTTTATTGGTAATCTACCTACTTGTATGGACTTACCTAAATCACGAGTTGAAGTGTTGAGTATAATAATAATAATTCACTCGTACCATTATTTTCCTTTAAATTTTCAAAAGATCGGTAAGTTAGTTAGTTACCTTTACCAGAATAACACGATCTGACCACTCGTCAATTAAAAATTAATGAATCATAAAGATATACTTGACTATTTGAGCTACATACAAAATTAATTATAGTATGCAGTATAGGTACGATACGTATTTTCAAATTAAAATATGATAGGCATGCAGGTAGGCAAGCACGTATTATATAGCCTCAGACCCAGATATTTCAAGGGCACCCATAGACGATTTTTCGAGAGGGGACTCGTGATTTTTGTGATCCTAATAACCTATATTATATTTTTCAATTTTAATAATCTGTATTTTCGTGCTGTAAATACCTAGGTACCAATTAAACATATAAGTCCAAACAGAGATGATAATATTAGCAATTAGTATCCTCATTTGTCCTTCGATTGCGGGTGGTTTTTATTGGTTCCCGTATAATATAATATTACTATAATATAAGCTGACGTGTGTTCGGCAGTATATTACTTATTGCTAAACGCAATCAATACATTTATCTTGAATTAAAAACATGTTTACTATAATGGCTAATGGCGTTTATCGCGTGTGACGTGTGCGTGTATAGTATTATGCACTTTTATTTACCTACGCAAATCTAAAATGAGTTGTTATCTAACTGAATAATAATATATAAATAGCTTATTCCCTTGTTGTTATTGTTTGGTTGACGATGCAAATATATTATTCGGGTTTTAAACGTTTTCCAAACAATACAAAAATGATTTCATAAAAATATATCTGTATTCCGTATAAATAGATTGTTTACGGCTACTTTAATAATTATAAATAAAATGTCCCTTGGAACTATATTGTTACAGGTAACTATGTTATTATTGATTTACGTAGGTACGCTTACCATCCAAATCAAAATGCCTACCATGGTTCTGATAAAATACTCAAAACATATAAAACGATGTTTTTTTTAGGGTTCCGTAACAAAAACAGAACTATTAAAAATAATAAAATCGGCAACGCCGCGGCGTCCCGTAAATATTAATTGCTATTTTTTCAACAGTTTTCTTTCGGGTTTTCTCAGTTATTTTTAAAACCACATGGAAAATCAAAAAATGATCTCTCTAACGCACTAACTAGATACAAATTTCCTTTCAGAAAAGGTGCTACATTTTATGTATCAGAACAACATTTTTCTTCAAAAAGTTGTTTTGACACACAAAAAAAAAATATACAAATCATAATAAAACCAGTAGGTGTTATTTCATAAATGCATAAAACCGAAAAATGACGATTAATTATAGTATTCGCGCCTCTCATCGTATTGTGGTACCTACGAGTTATTGACAAAATTTATATACAGATGAATGTTTCTCAACTTATAACTTATAAGTCGATAATATATGCTCCCTCTTTAATTTCCCAACTGTGTGATTTAAAATTGTAAAAAAATTCAAGAAAGTAACACATACTAAATACTTTCAACGAAAATTAATTTAAAAAAAATATGTTAACTGGTCATGTGAATATTGAACTAAACATGTTATAAATATATAGTTACTTACCATAGTGCTACTCTATAATGACACACACTTTGCTAATTTTTTCTCTATCGCCCGAGCTTTTTAATAACCTTAAGTATGTATGTTTTATATCTAGGTACTAAAAATCAGTTTAAAAATAACAATCGTTTAAGGCTTTAAGGTGTCCACATGTATCGGTAATTCAAGGTTAAAAACTAACAATACATATCATTAGTATTTATATATATATATATATATGTATGTGTTAGATAATCAGTCATTCATTTTAAAAACATTGGATAAAAATTAATAACTACCTACGGTAAAGAAAAAAAAATGTAATTAAAATATAAAAAAGACTGACATACTTCGCACGATTGATAGGCCACTGTTGTTGGTGAAAAGTTGGGAAAGTAGGATATAAAGAACTCTATTCATGTACTCAACGAAAAACGATTTGAAGCGAAATTTCTTTTATACATGTACATTGTACATGCATTTTCTCGATTTCCCTACGTTTTTTCCTAATTATAATGAAAACCATGATACCTTTAAATACACTTAGTAAGTAATTAAGTAGTAATACTTAAAGTATCAACTGAATACAATTTCCTTTCAGAAAAAGTGCCTACACTTAATACGTCTGAGCAGGATTTCTAGTAATAAAAGTTGTTCATAGAATATTAAACAAATATATATAATAATAGTAAAAAAAATAATAAACATCACTGTAAAACCAATATATGTCTCACTACGCTCCAAATCTAAAATAAAAATTACTTAATAAAATTATTGTACGTAAAACACTATAAACTAAATTTAATTAATTCGGTACTAGGTAGATATTCATAAGTTAGGAAAACTATTTAATTGGTACTTAGGTACTTTCAGTGATGTAGCCGGGATTTATCAATAGAGGAGTCATTAGTGGAGAATCTAAGAGGTTTATGGGTTTACCTTCTAAACCTTACCTTTATGCTAAAAAAATCAATGTAGTGGAGGGTTACAACACTCAAACTCAACCTGGCTACGTCACTGTCTACTCTGTTTGAAATCCGATTTCAACAAAAATATAATATGGTTTATGATTTTATAAAGTAAATTAGTTATTTAGTAGGATACCTACCTATCTTATATTTATCATTTTTTTTTAGTCACTATAGAGCTTATAAGGAAACGTTCCGAACACAACGAAGGCGAGATTGGTACTTTGGAAGAGATAGCTCTACACCAGGAAGATATTACTAAAATAGAAAATTTACAAAATTGGTGTAAGGATTTGAAAATATTACTTTTACAATCAAATTTGATATCTAAAATAGGTAAGTATGAGCCGACTACATAGTAGTATTAATAAGTTCATGCAATAGTATACAAATTGCACATTACACATAGGTATTCACGAATTATATCAATACTATTAATTAAATATACACTACAATGTACAATATAAATGTATATATAATTAATGAATATTAATCAACCATAGGCGTCTTTACGGAGTAGTGAGGGATAGCAACTGCTGCTACCACACCATTTTTATCAAGGTTAAAAATCAATAGCTACTATATCCTTTGAGTAATCTTTAAAAAAAATACAATATTCTTGTTTTTTTTTTTTTTTGTCAATAATACCTATAATAATTACACGAATTTAAAAATTATTTCATCGACTTTATTGAATTTGAAGGTACATAGAGATCAGTCCACTGATTATTTGCATTTCTAAATTTGTTCACCTTATAATTCTAATGAACAATTAACTAGAACCTGATTGATGATAAATCGACTAATGAAGTGAGGGACACTTCATTAGACCACAACTAAATTAAAAATATTATTCAATATGCTTGCTACCCCTTGATTTTACTTCAAATGATGCCTATATACTCTACATAAAACAATATTTATTTTGTATTTTTCGTCATATTTTAGGAAAAGAGTGTATAATTTGTTTTGCTTTTAAAATATTAGTTCTTTTTTCGAATTTTATTTTCTTTTGTATTATTACTAGATAATATCGTGTTTAGACAACGTTAAAACATTTGTTGCTCATAAAAATTTTGTGTAAGACGGTTATTATGTTACGAACCTATTTATAAAACACTCTGCTGTCTCAATCCAACTAACAGGCAATATAAAAAAAATCTTCCATACACAGACTACGTAGAACTCCTTTAATTTTGGTTTTAGAATAAAATCACTTGTTATCAAATTAAAAGTAGACAATTTGTGTTTAAAACCTATGTCTCATAAGTCTAATATATAATAATTAATACTATTAATATTACCATTAATTATAGAAGTCTATTCTATATCAATGGTACTTCATACTACTACCTATTATGTCTACGATTTTTAGTAATAACAGCAACTTGTCCGTATAGTCCATAGAAGTATTTTTAGGAATGTACGAACTGTCCACACTGTATAAAACTCTTATCGTGAATTATTTTGTTTACACATTTTTAACACTACCATGGAATAAATATATTACACAAATTGACAAAATTACGTTACAGTTGTCAGTTATTGTAAAAATTAAATTTAACGTTTCGTTTATTGTACATTTAATCGTTATATTTTATAATAAATATATATTTCCAATTGACAATAAAATGGAAGAAGATATTAAACCAGACATCAAACCAGTGGTCGTCGATGAAATCCCTAAAGAACCTGATGATAAAAAAACCAATTTATGTGTTGCGTTGAAAATTCTCAAAAAGTATAATTTAAATTCTACTGCTGAAACGTTGAAAAAAGAAGCAAATTTGACAGATCCTGTTTACAACACGTCAGAACTTGATATCAATAATGCTCTAAATGTATATAAATCTCAAGGAGATCCAACTATATATGAAACTGCTTATATAACTCTATCAAAATTTATTGACACATCATTAGATATTTACAAACATGAGTTAGGTTGTGTTTTATATCCTGTATTTGTGCACATGTATTTGGATCTTGTTTGTAATGGCCACGAAGCTGAAGCTGTACAATTTATGCACAAGTTTGGACCAGGACAAGAATCATACTACCAAGCTGACATCCAAAACTTGGCAATAGTTACGAAAAAAGAAGAACTAAATGATAGTACATTAATAAGCAGTTATAAATCAAATGAATTTGTTGTTCGGATGTCAAGAGACACATTATCTCTTTTGAAACGCCATCTAAAAGAAAAAAAACAAACCGTCTTGCTGGAAATTGTTCAAGAAAATTTATTTTTTGATGTTTATGAAGGGATAGCTAGAAATAAACAACAGATAGATGCAGTCGCAGGAGGTATGATTGGCGAAGGAACTCGACAAGATAACAAATATAAAATATTTTATGGGTTAATGAAGGAACCAGACTTACAAACGGCAGCTGCCACAGTAAATTTAGATGATGATGAAGAAGAAACTCAAGAAGGTGAAAAACCAAAAAAAAAAAAATCTAAGAGCAATATTTTATTAACAAAAAAAACTAAAATTGATCCTAATGCTCCACCTATGGATAGGATGCCATTACCACAATTAAGAGAGGTAAATATTGAATAAAACATATTAATAGAAAGTTTTTAGGTATTCAAGTATTAACAAGTAAAACGGTATTAAATAATCTTAAAATGTCTTAGCACTTAGTAAATTAAATAAGCTACCTACTTATTTTTTTTTTCAATTCAAAATGTTAATTTTTTGTAGTAAGTACTTAGACTATCATAATATAATTGATGCAGTTAGGAAGTTAATGTGATTTATATAAACATTCCACTATTTTAGTAAGAATCAATTATATATTTAATGAAACATAAAGTAAAAAAAAGGGACAAACATACTTCGCACATAGACACAGCCACTTTAGTGGGTGGGAAGTTGGGAAGGTAGGATACAGACGGGAATTTAATATATATTTGTAAGCAACGATATACCATTGCTAACAAATAAATATTTCTGAGTGGAGTTTAGTTAGTAGTGTTGCTGTATCAAATAATATATATATATATTATATTATGGTAAAATGATTTCAACAATTTCCATGACAACAATGATTGTTTAAAAAAGATTAAAATAATAAAAACTTAATAATGACGACCTTATTTTTAATCTTTCAATCTTTTCTAACCTAAAGCACCAGGTTTTCCTCGTTATTTTAAATATTAATGAGAATTTCAAAAAGTAACATCTCTAAAGTACTACCCAGAGAACATTTCCTTCCATAAAAGGTGTTATATTTGATAATTTGAGTAAGCTTTCTGATAAAAAAAAGTGTTTACATAAAAAAAAAAAATCATTACAAACCCTAATACATTTCTAGCTCTATTCAGAATCTAAAAATTATTTAAAATAATAGTGAAATTTGATGAAAATACGTTATTTAGACATCCATTCATGAAATGTACAATACCTATATTGTACACTTAATGTAATTATTATTATTATTTAAACTATACAAAAATATAACAATATATTATATTTTTAATAAACCATACATATTATTTATAAATAAGAAAGATAGATAATAAATACATTTTAATTATCTTTAAATTATGAATTATACATTTTTTCTACTTATTTTATAATTTATTTTTGCACGACAGTTAGTTATGATACCGACATTGTGTATTATTTTTAAAACATGCTCATCTACTTGATTGACAAGGAGTTTCTGGTCTGTTATTTTTTTTCCAATTTTATATTTATATACATAGGTATCCTATAAGGAGCCATTTGTTTAATAATTGGATGTGATATTAACAAAATTTAATTTGATTTCTCACCTAATATAGAGTACAGGTGCAACATTATTATCTTTATTGATATAAAAAAGTATGGTTTATATAATTTATAAATAATGTAAATATATTTTATAAAATATAATTCATTGTTATATTTTTGTATAACTTAAATAACTTATAATAATTACTCATATGTAAAATTAGGAGGTACTGTCTATTTCATTAAATAGATGTTTATATATTGTATTTTTGTCAAGATTCATGATCTGCACAACCAGTTCATTAAATGAGCAATTTCACTATGTGGATGCAACATACGTTAACTAAATATTTTCCAATTGTACCATTTTTAAACACAAAAATGTACATTATATTTAATACTAATCAAAATTAGTCTTATAGGTTTCTATTTAATTTTTAAATAAGTTATTTAATTATTTTTTGTTTTAAGTAGAGATATCTGGATTCAAAATTATTTATTTTAGAAATATTAGAACTACTACAGGAAGCACTTATTTAAAAAAAAAACAATAATGTTTTTAAAGAAAATTTTGTTTTTCAGATTGATAAAAAAATAAAGGTTCAAGCAGTTTTAGATTCTTCCAAAAGAGTAGCATTAGGTCCAGAAGCATTGCCATCTGTATGTTGTTATACATTATTAAATTGCTCCAATGGTGTAAATTGTGCAACAATTAGTGATGATGCAACAATGTTAGCTGTTGGCTTGGTTAATAGTCGAGTGCGAGTTTGGAGCCTAGTACCTCAAAAACTTCGTGCCATGAAAACAGCTGATCAACTATTGGACATTGATCTTGAAGCAGATGATGTAATGCATAGAATTCTTGATGATAGGTCAGCTGAAAGCACTCGCACTTTGCTCGGACATTATGGTCCTGTATATCAAGTGTCATTTAGTCCGGATAAAACACTATTATTGTCATGTTCAGAAGACTGTACGATTAGACTTTGGAGTTTATTATTGTGGACATGTGTAGTAGCATATAAAGGAAGTTATCATCCAGTGTGGGATGTAAAGTTTAGTTTACATGGTTATTATTTTGCCACTGCTAGTAGAGATCGCACAGCAAGATTATGGTCAACAGATAATTATCAGTCATTGCGATTATTTAGTGGACATTTTTCTGATGTAGACTGCTGTCAGTTTCACCCAAATTCTAATTATATAGCAACTGGATCAAGTGACAGAACCGTACGTGTATGGGATTGTGTCACAGGAGAACAAGTGCGACTAATGACAGGCCATAAAGGTGAAATTTTAATATTATGTTTTTCAAATGAGGGACGGGTATTAGCGTCCGCTGGTAATGATTGCAATATTATTCTATGGGATATTGCTCATGGACACTTGGTAGCTATGCTTACTGGACATACAGGACCTATTTATACACTTACTTTTAGTAGAGATAGTACCATTTTAGCATCTGGCTCTCATGATTGTAAAGTTATGCTGTGGGATTATACAAAAATTGTAGAAGACCTATCACTAGATGACATGAGTGTACATAATCCAATTATTGTCGATAATAGTAAAAATTACTTACTTCGATCTTTTGGTACAAAAAACTCACCGGTCATTCATTTATTTTTTTCAAGACGAAATATTATGTTTTGTATATGTTCATTCAATTCTAACCAATCTAGCTAGCTTTTATTTAAGTACAAACTTTATATGTTAAAATTATTTATCCATTATTTTTTATATAAAGTATAATATATTTTATGCAAAAAAAAAAAAAAAATTAAATATATTTTTGTAAGGAAATTATATTGTTCTTTATTAAGGTATTTGTAAGTATAATTTTATAAAATGTGTTTTTATATGTTGATAACCAAACTCAAATTTTATTCTTTTATTTAAATGTAAGTAAAATCAGAGAACAATTTTTCTAATTTATTGTTGTAAACAAGTGTACCATTAATATTAATGTTGTTAGAAATTATTAACAAATAAAATGTTTCCCTTTGATAAGGTGAATGAATTTAAGAATTTGTATGATACCTATAATATATATTTTATAAAATTAGGTGATTTGTATTTTGAGAAGAAAGATTTAATAGTTTGCATATTAATCTTAATATACTATAACTATGTTCAATATTTATGTTTTATGCAATCAATTTATGTTTATTTAAACATCAATCGGAATCCTTTTTTGTTAAATATATGAAAATGATTAAAATCAGACATAAAGTACCTATTTAATACCTATAGTTTTCATTACTTAAATATAAGTAAATCTTCTTGTGTGGTTAGCAAAACGTGTATTCCTATCGCTATTCAGTACTTTATGAAATAAATGTCTCAATATGTCTGTTCTTCATACATGTCTGAACAATATGTAGGGAATGTCTGGTTGCTCAAATTGCAGATCGGAGGAGAAAATACTGGAGAGATATAATAAGAATTTTAAATGTGGATCAAAACAGCAGCAAAGCAAGATTACTAAAGAAGTTGAAAAGAAAGTGTAAACACCAATCTCTCAAACTAACATAACTACAAATGATCTAGTTCATTAGATCATCATGAGTAGTAAAACAAAAAGAACATAGAAAACTGATAAAAACAAACCAATATTTTTGGAACTCCTGTTGAATGCTGGGGATTGAAACAGAAATATGGGATCTAAAATTACAAAAGGAGCAGGAGTTGAAAATTTAATAGTAATGGAACAAATTATACACTTTGATTATACACTAATTATACATTAATTATCTGATGAATTCCCAAACTTACCCGGTAAAAACCAAATATAAGTAAGCATATTTACTCAAAAGAAAATGTATAGTACTAATCTTCTCAAATAATATCTTACAACAATGATTTTCAGTTGTCACAACTAAATATTAATAACAAAAATTAAAAACTGATTCATTTATAATTTTATTACACATTTAAAGTAAGTAGGTGTCTGTTAAGATATTAATATTAATTTTTTTTTAGTTATAAGTTATACTTATAAAAATGTATACTTAGTGATTAGGTACCTATCTACAGTATTTTTATTAGATATAAATACGTGTGATCACAGAGGTTTATCTAATGTTTTTTTAGGTGCAGCAAAGCACAATACTCTTCGAAAACATTTTTCAGGCCCATCAAATAGATTCAAAAGTTTATTGTGGTACGTACCTCTGTGATACTACTATTAAGAATAAAGGATACATTAAACAACTGTGAACGTGTTAATTTTGAGCATGTATCATAATCGTTATTCTAATGTAAATATATTCCAAAGATACATATCGCCAAACAAGCTCTTTTTAAATAATGTAATTCAATTTTAATTTCAATATACTACATAATATATATTACCTATTCAATATAATCGATTTCAGTAATTACAATTATTGCAAATATGAAATATCACAATATTTAATAGTAATAAGTTATTAACAAAGATCTACTTATGTGATAGGAGGTAGGTAAACATTTATTGTTATTTTAATTGAAATTTGAAATTGTCACATTTTAAGTAGGTAGATAATAGTTAAACGTTTATTATAAGAAATAATAATAATACAACTATTATTAAAAATAACATGTTTACTGTTTAAATACATATGTTATACACTTGTTTTTTTGTACAAATAATAATTATTTTAATTACACAATGGTTTTTTGGAAAATTAATGGGCTATTCTAATTTCAATCTATGTATTTTAATTATGATATAGGAACTTAAATTTATATTGTTTTTGTCATTTAGATACTGGACGAAACCAATGGCGCCGAAGTAGTTTAAAAATACTCTGACAAACAAGGCAATACCTACTGTATTATACTATTATTTTTTTTTTATAGGCTTCTTTGAGAGTAATTTATTACATAATTCATAGTACTATTTTTATAGTTATATTTTCTACAAATACTACTCGTATTATGTTTATTTATCACCACTCAGGGCCGTATTATAGGACATAGGCTAATATTGTCGTTATCCATACATTGTTTCTCATATCTCCGATCCATTTTTTCCTCATTTCTGGTTGTTTTTCATATTGGTTTTTTTTCGTTCATTCTTAGGTATATTAATTCATTTTTAACTTTCTCTGTCCAAAGAATTTTCAATTTTCTTCTCCAATACCGTGTTTCAAATGCTTCAATCCTTTTTCTTTTCGCTTTGAGTATCGTCCATGTTTCTGCCCCGTAAAGGGCTATACTCCATACAAAACTCTTTATAAGAGTTTTTCTGATATTTAAGCTAACAGTGTTTGCCGTGAGTAGGTTCCTCTTCTTGTAGAATGCCTGTTTTGCTTGTGCTATTCTGTACTCTTAACAGCTATCATTCTCAATTTGTTAACATGTTGCCTAATTCTTCTTCACTTTCTGCAATTATTGCTATGTCGTCTGCAAAACGCAACATTTATACTAGCATACCATTGATTTTTATTCCTCCAATCTCTTCTCCCTTAATTTTTTTAGAGTATTTTCAATATACAGGTTAAATAGTGTTAAATAATGTACGTATAAAGCGTGAGGTATTATATCGCATATATTTTTTTGAACTCTATTATATATACTACACATTAAAGAAGCACCATCGTAGCCTTGACCGACTAAATTCTTCTTTTTTTAAACCTAATTTCTCTATTTTAAACATTATTGTATGGGCTTATCCTTTTCCTGATGTGTCATAAATAGGAATAAACGTTAAAAAATCTTCCCTAATACGACCATCTTCAATGTACCTTACATATAGGAACATTTGTTCTATTCGTGATATGTCGCAAGTTTCATTCGCTACAATTAAAAAAAAAAAACAGCTTTTTAATTTTAGTTACTATCAGCATAAATGGATGTACTAAAAATATGTATAACTCGTTTTATATAAGAGGTTTTATTTTGACAGAATTAGCTGCTGCTTTTTCTAAATGGGCTTTCAATGTTAAATCTCCAGATTGTACTCTAAATCTTAACAACGATCTGAAATTGCCATCATTGCAGCACTGCTGCTAAAAATAGCTCCACTGTCATTATCTCCCCTTAATGCTACTTCCTGATGATCACAAAAAACAATTGTTTCGATAATTTGAACCAGTTTAGCTCGATTTTCTAAAGTTTAGTTTTTGTATGCTGAATCGATAGCTATATAAATGGCGGGTTTTTTAAAATTCATCTACGCGTATAACACACAATTTATGGTATTCTGCGTTAGAATGTAATTTAAAACATCCTAAAGCATCTTTTCATTTAATAAAAGGTTTACTTACTAAAGCACCCACATTTTGATTTGAACCTTTTCCGATGCAAGCATTAGAAAAAAAAATACATATTTTACTTAATGCCCGTTCTAATTTCTTCGAATAAACTAACCAAGAAAACTGTGTTAACGAAGACAATTAGAATTTTAGTTTTCTTTTTGATAAAACTGGAAAATTATAATTTGAAGAGGGAAGCCATTTTTTAATAAATCGTAACTTAAATTTATCTTCAGTTATTCTAACATCTACATACTGTCCATTATTTAGAAGTTCTGGTAATTCTAGAGTTCTTCCTATTACACCATTTTCAGTAGTACACATACACGGAACTTCTGCTTCTGTAGTAATTAATTCTGAATCCAATTCAACTTGATTATTTTTCTAATGAAAAAAATGAAATATTGACGACTAAGTTGGTATACATCCTTTTATTTTTCAAGAAATGTATAAAATATGTAACAGTAAATTAAACAGATACACAACTGTGTTATTGAGAAACAGAAATCGGAATTAAATGAAATGCTCGTTATACATTTATGTTATTACTCAATACTTCTGAAAAACAGACTGAACTTATAACTAGTGAACAATAATTTTTGCTATAAACCAATTAAGTATTATTATTATACTCACAAACACATACACATTTGTAGTTATAAACCGAAAAGTCCGTCGTCCGACAAGATTGCAATAACATAATATATACGTTTGTCATTTTCTAAAATTTAAAATAACGTGTAATGATAAGTGGAAAATTGGAAAATTTACAAATACCTAAATAAACTGTAGTTGTACAATTATACATACAATTTTTAGTTAGTTTTTGTTTCGATTTTAAAAAATTCGGGGGAGGGTTTGAACCCCTACCCCCCTCTGTATACGGGCTTATACTCGTATGTACATATTATATAAAGTCTAATACCTAACTATTGACAGCATAAAATGATATCTTCAAGTATATTTTTTTTTAAACGATCAATTAAAAATATGAATAACAAAATTTTAAACATATCTACCTACCTACCTATATTTCATATTTAAATTTATTTATTCAATTTTTTGGATTAACGATTCAAATCGAGCGTATTTATGTTTACATGCCTCAATTTATCGAATTAACTGGATTCGTATTGAATCATTTCGAATTAAGATACGAGTATACCTGCACGTCTAAAATATTATTAGTATAATACACTTCCACCAAACCAGTTTAACGTTGCAACAGTTTAAACCGATTTACTGATAACGTTTGTAATTATTATTCTTTATCACAAGTACCTACCGCAATTCTGATTCAGTTGTTGTAATGTGATCCGTTTACATGCATTTTGTACTCCCGTTGTTATTTTCAATGCGCATTTCAAATGTGAATTAACTAAACCGTTTTAACAGCCGTTTACATGCATTTAATTGATTCGAATTGAGTCAGAACGGTTTTAGCTGTGCATGTAACCGTAGTATATACTAAGACCCCGGTGGTAATTCGATATCGTTATATTATCTGGAAAAATTATCGGACACGGACAGAAACATGTTCAAAAAATTCTGATAATAACAATGTTTATACTTTTGTAATTATTTTTCCGACAAAATTTGATGAACTTTTTCAATTATACCTCTGTAGTTATCGTATTGCTGTGAGTATATACTTACAGGTGTAGGTACTTAATAACATCGCTTGTCCCCGTAGGTATAGGTATTTATATTATTTTGGCATTGTTATAATGATGTACATAAAATAGAAAACACGTGATTATAGTATATTATTATTATAGGTACTTAATTATCTTATCTATTTTTAATTGTTTGAACGAATATAAAATACATTTTTCATTACTATTTACTCATATATCTATGTATAATACGCGTAGTAGAATAGGTAGATACGTTTCGCATGAACAATTGTAATTTTTAAATTTTGGTTTCCTTTAGACAAACCTTTGATATACCTAAACCAATACTGTACCTACACGGAATTATTTCAAACAGATTTTGAAGAAAAATGTCCTGATGGTTTATACGTAAGAATAAAGTCGAAAATCGGGGGCGAAATGACAATCGTCTATAAGAACTAGAAGATACCTACTGTCATTACTGCCCACGCCGTCGGTTCCCCAAATACTGCAAAAACTTCAAAATGTAAAATCGGAATTCCGCTTCTCAAGTCTACTTTTGCGCTCGTCCATAAGTCACACGAAAGAACCGGAAATAACGACCGAAGTATCGATGATTATATTCGCATTATTTTTAAGACTTTTTTCCCGGTCATAAAAATACCTATTATTATAATGATAAATTGCCCACGCTCAATTTAACAGCGCCTACAGATTATATCAATATCCGTATTCCATGGGAACTGGATTGTGTCGCCTAAAAATGACGTATTTTTCCATACAAAATACGCTGGTGTTCTGTGAATATTATAATATCGTTACTTTTTGTTTCGGAATCCGGAATCAATAACACGCGGTAGTTATTTGTTTAACGGCCGTGACATTTAATTGTACTGGTTCGACTCAAAATCGCTTGCCTACTGTAATAACTAGATAGGTATACGCACTTTTAAACCGTCATCGCAGAGCACCTATAAATCATACGCCTATGTACCCACGTGTCACAACCCACCTAATAGGTATAAATTTAAAATTATAACAAGTCAAGTTCACGAGATATAATTTACAATTTTGATCAGCTGTAGATATTCGATTATTACACACGTTTGTTACAGCTCTATTATGTTAATGTGTTGGTACGAGAATACGAAGGGAACATTTTTTAAATACCTACTTATATCTATGGAGTTCTGTCAAATGCAATAACTTTTGTTGTGTTCAATATTGTTTTTTAAGGTTTTTCTTTTTTGTAATTACTATAGTATTTTGCTATGGTTTTTAAATTTTATATTTTTCTTAAAACAAACCATTTATTTACAAAATGTTGATTTTATACAAATTTTTAATAACGATCAGTTAATTGTTTATAATTTGTATAAAGTTTAAGAAAATCATTTACAAAATTAGTTTGCATTGAAAAATTGGTGATCGATTGATATTATTTATTAATGGCAATAAACAAATATTTAAACTATCATACATTTTACAAAATTGTAGAACATTAACTACCGATCATTAGTAAAGATTTTGTTTCAAAATAAATTTATATAATGGCTTTATAATAGATTTTGTGAACAAAATTAAATAGGTAATTAATTTTTTATTTAAAAAATATATGAAACGTTTATCACAAAACTCAATGCTCTAGTAATTATCATCAAAAAGAACAACCTTAAAAATATTGAGCAGAACAAAAATATTGCATTTATCAGATCCCTGTAAATTGTTATAAGTACCTATGTTGTAGTCACTTCGTGAGTTCCATATTTCCATGATATGGAAACGGCTTTTTCATATTTTGTGAAATTCCGTTTTACGAAATTGTTACCTAATTTTTCATAGGTCTGGTCAGATGCGCCCACACTCCTTATCAAGTAGTGCACTTGCTGGGGTGTTGGGAACAATTGTGTAGGAATTGTTAGTTGACATGTACAAATTACAAATTATATTGCTATTACAATTCATATTAGAATAATCCAATTTATAAGTTTGTTAGTTATTTTTGAACCTGTTATTTTGTGAGTGGTCGCATTACTATCTACTGCATGGGTTAGAAGGAAATGTTTGGGAGCCACTGGATCTGGTCGTCTGTTATTATTGGTTGACGAATTATTTCCATATGGAGTTTAGACAATATAACGTAATATTTGTGGAGCGTCACATTAAATATTAGGTACTGTTTTCTCGACCGTCAAATTAAATAACAATAATAATAAATCAAATCCAACAATACGATAAAGCGGAGGCCAAAGATCAGACTAATACCTATATATAAACATAACAGTAACCCCGAATTACATATTTTATTCCCGGACACGGTAATAATTGTACCGTATAATTATAAATATGTAACGTGGTATTGTTGTGTATCTATAATAATCGTGTTCATGGTTTGACATTTTAGTGCCGGGATCTGATAGGAAAAAAAACAAGATTGTATTTCGATAAATACACAAGTATTGTATACCTACTGTGTGTAACTTATTTGTATAATATTCGACTAACTCGAAAAAAAAAAAGAATAGATCGAATTCATAATATATGCACAATATTCCGCTTTTTTTCTTTTTTACATAATAACGCTTGTGAATTTTTTTTGATTATGAACAAAATATACTCAGAAACAGATGTCATTGTACTACATACTGCTGTCGGAACATCGCGTGATACACTTCTCTGGCGCTGCGTGTAGTTATTACAAATTAACATTCATAAAATAATATAACATAATATATACCAAATAATTGATAACTATTATTGTACAGCCTATACGAACTTAGATATTGTGTAATATTATTTCGTAACGAGTTTTCTACACGTTTTAATATTATATCTTTGATACCGGGGAATTTTTGGAATTTTTTTTAGAATTTCGTTTATTATATATTTTCTCTGTAATTTTTTGGTCTAAAATTACATAGGAGTATGTTATTATATGGGTAAGATTAGTGCCTGTTGTGTAGATAAATTAGTATTTCGTATATGTACAATAAGTGTAATGTATTTTCAACATTTAATTTGTTTGTATTGAAAACTACATAAAATCGATGCCCCTCTTTTCTGACACCAAAGGTATATAGGTAATATCAGTATTCTTATCAATTTTCTGTCGGTACCTTATACAGGGTATTTTATATTTTTCTCGTGGTTTTTTTTTATGCTATTTATTTTAGGGAAAAAAGGTATTACATTTATTGTTCATAATATATTATAGATTTAATAAGTGAGTAATATTATATCATAGTGTATATTTTTATTTGTTTTGGAAAATTATCTGAGAGTATACCAACGTATACTTGTACTTATGATTTTTCCACAAAATGTTGAGTATTTATGTAGTATACCCTATGGGAATATCACTGAATATTATTATTTTGACGGTATGCGATGACGATGGTGATTTCAGAAAATTTGAACAAATTAAAGCAATTGGAATATTTGAATTTAGCGTTGAATTGCATCGAGAAAATTGAAAATTTGAATAGGTGCGAATCGTTAAACAAATTGGATTTGACCATGAATTTTATCGGCCAGCTCACCAGCGTCGAATCGTTAAAAGACAACATACATTTAAAAACGTTGTGAGTAATAAAACAATATTATATTATAAATAGAATTAATAATAATTATTGTATTTGCACAATAGTATATATAGTGCCTATCATATATAGTATAATATTATATTTTTACCATACGATTCATACGCTCGTCCCTTGTGATATAGAAAAAAAAACAAAAACAAAAAAAAAACATTAATTTTGACTCTCATACTGGGCGTGCATAATATATACAGAGTGTCCCACGGAAATCTCACAGATACAATAATTTTTGTTCTGCTGTATATTTGTAGGTTACTTCTTTTCTTATTTTTTTAATAATAATAGCAGTAGCTAAAAATAACAAATTTAAATCTATAAAACATTTATATATTTATTTTAAATCAACATGTAGTGTTACAAAATGTTACCTATGATTATATTAAATATTATCAATGACTTTTTCTAATTTTCTAAAACTTTTTGAACTTAATAAAAATCATTAACAAAAAAATTGTTCATGGTTAGTTTGGCAAATTAATTGATATTATTTAGTTATTTGAAAACAATTTAAATGATCATAAACTTAAGGAAAAAAAAATATAGGCAAAAATTATTGGATTTTTTATCAGATCTTCGCTGCAGTATAATATGCGGTATGTATCGTATACAATATAATATAGGTACGTGGTGTATAATATATTTATGTGTAATTACATTTTTTTTTTTTCTTTAATCGTCATTAAACGGAGTCCGTTTATAATTATAAAACAATTCCAAATTGATTAAACACAAACGACGGCGGAGTTTACGATGAATTTGTATAAATTATAATAAATACAATATAGCACTGTACACGCGAAACGAAAGAAACATTGTACGTATATAACTATGCGTAGCGTGCAAGTTTATTAATTGTATCGAGACGATCTGATAATATACATTATTGTACTTGGATATTTCGAATGTTAATTGATCCTTATATGGAGTAATATTTAATAAATAATAATAATTGGTTACAATTTTATATTTTAAACGAAAGACAAATATAAGTATATATTATAATATAATTGTAATCATATTTACAGCAATTATTCTATTTTAGATTCTGCATTAAGTGCAAACTGCATTCTGTGCTATACTATAGCGAAAACACTATTTTAACAATACTTCTATATGTTTTATTCGTATGATATGTAAAATTTTAAAATAAAAGATTTCGCAGGATGGTATTTTATTTAAACATTTTTTTTTTTTCGAGATTTCTGACAGTTTTTTGAAAAAAAAAAACTGGCAACAATAAATTATGTATGGGTTTTATTTTTGTTGTTTACTGCAGGTTAATTATACTTACTTATGGAAAGGGAAAAAGCATGACTAATAATATTATCGGTTTACCGAACTCTGTTCAGAACCGTTTATTTCATTATAATGGTTTATCGTGGCTTTTAGTACATAAATTAAATTTAGTAAGTATTCTTACAATAATTGCAAGGAATGTCTGTCTTTTTAATTTTTTATAGTATTATGTTTCGACTAGGTATTAGAAAATTATGGTGTTTAACTTAGTATACCTAACTATATATTTAATATATTATTGTTGAATAGGTAACAACAATTATTTGATTTCCATTAATTTGTATACAATTGTAGCGTAAATATAGGTAAATGCGTTATTATTATTATTATGGAACCATACCATTTTAATTTCGATTTGAAAATCGTTGGTAAAATATGTTATATGTCTATACGCACAGTAATGATTCCACCAAAAACCAAAATTTGTCTGTTATATTTTAATTGTTCAATGCAAATTACAATAATATTTTTTAGATATCTCACTGGAAATCCTTGTACCGATTACGACGGATATCGCGAGTTTGTCGTGGGCACTTTACCGCAAATCGACTTACTCGACGGAGTAGAAGTGAGTCACCACGACAAACTTGTTGCCAAACAACTGTTGTCGAATGTCAAGCACAAGATTATCTCTCAGCAAGACTTATATGAAAGTAAAACGATTGATTATTTTATTCACGATATCATATTAATATGATAGCGTTATTGTATATTTAGATAACGGGGATACTTATATATTTAAATTTTGTTTGTATGCAATTACAATTACCTACTTTAATAATATTATAATACGTAACAGAATCTAGATTAGAACGGAACAAATCGTCGAAACCATTAAAAATGATCGATGAAACATCGAGTATGACCGATGATGACGACGAAAAATCAGAACAAGAGTACGTGTACTTGTAAAAGTAGCTTTAGATTTAATCGTTTTAAAATTTAGATACATTCACTACACCTTCACTTTTTAATATATTTGTACGTATGGCTACCCTCTAAAAATGCTTATGTCAATATTTAAATATAGGTACTTATATGAATTATTTATAATCGTTTTTATACACTTTTAAAAGTCAATTAACCACGTGAGTAGGTTATTATTACAATATTGTAGTTCTTATTTACGTGTTAGGTTTTTTTTTTTTTGTCATATTTTTTATCATAACCTACTATAGTTTTATTATAATATGTACTTACGTTATCGTTTGCGATACGTAACTTATCGTATGTACCGATAATAATATTGTTTCATACATCTTCTATATGTACAATTAAAATATTTATTTTTTTTTTAATAATAAAAAAACGAGATAAATAGCTTAATTCGAGATACAGAATACATATAATATTAATATATATATATATATATACTATTTATAAAAAAAAAACCGATAAGTTGAAATTTACATTCATACAAACTATACTGAATATATACAGAGTGTGTTAAGATAATTTCAGAATGTACATTATGTGTATTTATGTCTTCCTGTAGATTCCGGGAAAATAATCGAGATCATATAAATGTCTTTAAATGGGGATTTTTTTTTAAATTTTTGTTCATTCACCAATAAGCTTGAAATTTAATAGGAATTTTAATATCAAATTTTGACAAAAAAATTATGTGGAACAAATCTAATTTTTCAATTTTTTTTTTTTTTTGAACAATGTTTTTGAAATGTAGGTACTAGTAAAAAAAATAATATGACCTTTTTTTCTGTTTACAACTTTTCTACCAGCGATTTCGTTCTGCTTTAAAATGATAGCACTTTTTCTGTACATGAAATCTGACTGGGAAGGTATTTAGAGAGGTGATTTTTCGATTTTCCCAGGAGTTTGGTATAATATTATTAACAAATATTATTAAAGGAAATATATAATGTATATTTAGTTATTTTACCATAATATGACTTATGTATATATTGTTGACAAAGCATCACTATCAACTGAACTGCACTCAAAATCATTTTTTTGTTAGCAATGGTTTATCGTTGCTTACAGATATACATTAAATTACCTATAACAGTGGCTGCACCCGTCTCTATTATTCTAAGACGTCTTTTTATATATACATAATTGATATCCAGTTACTTATATAAACAGTATAGGTACCAATAAATCATAAAAAAGAAGATACGGTAATATTTCGCACGATGGGTGGGCCACTGTTGTAGGTGAGAAGTTGGGAAGCTAGGATATAGAGGGAAATTTAATTTATATCTGTACGCAATAATTTATCTTTAAAAACGATTCTGAGCAGAGTTTTCTTATACGTCATGTTTTGAAAATAAATCTATGATTTGAAAATAATAAGTTAGCAATACGTTTCGTAATTTTTCCTATTTATTATGAAAACTCCTTGGAAAATCAAAAAATTACCTCTTTATAGAGAAATCGGGTAAATTTCCTTTTAGTGTTACATTTGAAAATCGGATTAAAATTTCTGGTAGACAAGTTGTCCACGGAAAAAAAAAACATCTTTGTAATATCAATAATTATATTATGCTCGTTCCGCTCAGAATCTAAAATACTTAAAGTTTTCCATGCAAGGCACAGGATATCGATAATATAATATATTAGGATCGAACAAATTGGCGGGAACGCTATAATGCTGTTTTAGTGTTATTGTTTTGTTTAATAATATAATATCAATGTCAAACGCGTATAATTTACGATTACCTATACAGTTTTTGGAATCAACCCAGCGAAAACACTCCGGAATGTCGCGTGGCGATGGCGCTTCACACCAGACGGGCTCAACGGAGGCAAGACGAGGCGAAAAAAACACCGACGGTCGAAAAACGGCCGGTGAAATTGTTCGCCGACGACGGTCGTCCGTACAACATGAACCGAGCGAAATTACCGTACGAATTGGACAACGCGCACGACAGATACGTACTGACCGTCCAGGTTTACAAGTAATTAACACCGGCATTATAATATTATATTTCGTTTTATGTGTATGTGTCATGACGTGCTGTCCCACACGACTCTACTCGTGTCAGTATTTGAACGAAAAAACAAATGGTAAAAAATAAAAGCGCATTTCTCCGCTACATTCTGTTTCCATCCCCGTGCCTATATACGCGTATATGCATGCCTATCACTTACTACAGTTATCACTGATTTGTTGCCCGTGAATTTTTAAAAGCGCATTTTCCTGCCCGTGCCAATCAAATTGTGTAATTTTAACGGTTTTTTTTCTGTCCGTGTGACACCAAGCGTCGGTCATCCCATTATTGGGGCGGATTTCCCAAAAACATTTTCTTAGTGGACGCCAACGTCGTAAAAAAAACGGGTAGGTTTTGAATTTTTATTATGCATGTATTTAAATACAAAATATAAAAGTTATGTAACCCCAGCGGTTTTGGCTGTACGCACAGACGCAACTAAGGGGGGGGGGGTGGAGTGCTAGATGGTCTTTAGCACGCAAAAGTTTAAAATTAATACCCCAAAATACCCAATTAGTTGTTTTATAATATAGATTAAATATTTTATTTATATATTTCATAATTAATAAGCCGAACAAAATACAAATTACATATAGACATTGTATTGCCTTTATCGGTCTGTGATGTGTCTTTAATTCTAGCACCCCCAACGTGCTAAAGTCAACCAGTTAAAACTAGTCTTCTCACGTGTATAGATATATAATATAATAACATTAATGAAATATTATTCCGGATAAATAATTCGGCTATAAAATACAATGGTGTTCCCATAGGGTATAGTATCAAGATTTTTTTTTTTTTAAATCACGGGTATAAATGTATAATGCTCCTGAGTGATGAATTTTCGAAAAAAAAAAAAAAGCTAATGTTTTTGTAGCAGGCGATTCATGTCTTTATTGAAAATCTAATATAACAATATAACATATTTTTGGTACGGATAATATTTTCCCCCGACGAAAACTGTGCACTACGACGACGTTGGTTGTTTATCACCAACATTAATAATGTATAATTTTATACAATTAACTGGCAATACCGACAGACGATAATAATTTTGCATGCAATAAAATGCATGTCCTTTGTTATCGAGACTATGTTGTTATACTTAATAGTATAGTAATATTAAAATACTCAAATCTATAAAATATATAATAATATAGATAATAAGTGAAATGTAATCCACAATAGACCAATTTTTTTTTAAAACATATTTATTTTTGTTAAAATTATGCTGAGAATGCCCTCAAAAAATTTGTTGCAAACATCACTGCTATAAAATATTATTATTATTATTTTAATTAGTAGTTTAGTGTGTCGCGTGTACTTCGAGTCTCAGGAGGTTTAATTGAAAATGTTATATAGGTGTAGGTTATAGGTATGGGGTGTGTATAGGTTTTTATTTCGTGTTTTATTTACCGAACAAACGCAATTGCAGGGCTGCAAGCCTGTCACTAAAAGTCTAAAAACAAGTTCAGAACGCGCCAGTGAGGTTGTCCAATAATTTTCAACGGGAAGGGATATAATAAATAATAATTATCATAGTTAATCAATTAATTATCATCATATCCTAAGTTAAGTATTTAGCATATCGAAACTGCATACACTCAGATAGCGAGTATTAATATTTAAATTAGGAAAATAAAAGGTTTAATTATTAAAAGAAATTAATAAAGAAATCAAACACGAGCTGCTAAAAGTCGGAGCTAGCTATTTGAGAGAGATTTTCGAAAAAAGTTGGAGGTGCGTATTTGTTATGTGTTCTTGACAGAGTGGTCGTTTAGGGATTTCTCGAGCGGTCAAGATGATCGAGTTTCTATAAAAAAAACCCCTTTTTATTTTATTTTAATGTTATATGGGAATAATTATAAGGGTACTTAGTGTAGGAATGTGACGATGATGATGATGTGATTTTACAGACGTCGTATATCTCTATTTTTATTTGATTTGTATTGAAATACTTCTAATGAAAGTAATAAATGGGATATGGATCCTTCTCGAATAACGAAAATACCGTTATTATTTGTGAGCTCAAAACGGCCCCCAAATCGGCCTTCGTGACGGGTTCGATAGAAGATAACTAACAATAAAATTATATTTATTGGGGTGTTGAATGGAAATTATTAAAATACTCAGAGTACGATTATGACGGCGGCGCGGCAGCGTCCTCGGAGGGCTGAAACGGATGGCATAAATTTCAACTATATTTGACCCATTTTAAAATATTTTATTTGTACAGAGTGTAATATTTATTCCTCTCGAACAACGAATGCTCCGTTATGATATTTATTAAATCATTAACTTTTTTCAAATAGAGAATACTAATAGTACTCGACCGCATTTGAATCTTTTAGTCATACTGGTATAATAATATAAATAATAAATTGTACATAGATATTATGTTGTGTGAGCATAACATTACAATATCTTCCCCTGCGCCTAAACTTTTGTTTTATCATTATAGATTTATGGATACCGACGAAATAGACGTAGACGTACAACCCAAATACGTGAGAGTCACGGTCCGTAAAAAAATATTACAATTAGTACTGGAAGACGAAGTAAAAGTGGACGAATCCAATGCGAAACGGTTGATCGGTTCCAAACTATTGGAAATAACTATGCCCAAAGTAGGTTATCGTGCCGCATAGGTAAATTATAATACCTAAATAATAATAATAATACAAAATAGTAGAGTATATTATAGAAGGTACCTAATTTAGTTTATGTCTGCAGTATGCACAATGATAAATCATTTTGAACGAAAAACGATTCTAAACAAAGTTCGGTAACTCGAATTGAAATTGAATCTGTTTATTTATTTTAAAAATAAAAGGGCTGACGTCCAATATGCGTAATGACGTTAACCTGTGGAGTGTCCACGAATTTTTAATGGGGGGGGGAGGTATTATAATTAATAATACATTTTATTTGCCTTTGGTGGCAATACCAAAGACATAAATATGGAGCTATAGGTAGTCAACTCTCTCAAAACTTTTTGTATATTATACCTAACTGTATATAATAAGTATATAGTTCTATAATTAGAATGAATACAAAGTTGATTAATTCAAATATCACCAGTAAACTAAATATACATTTGTAAAAAGTATTTATTAAAATTAAATTTAAAAAAAAAAAACAAAACAGAAATTGATTTAAGTAAAAACAATACAAACTAATGATTTAATCTTAATATTAAAACAAAAATAATATTTAAAAACTAAATTATTCCAACGCCTAGTTTTAGTAAGTATCTTAGTTCATTTAAAACTTATGATTTTTACGATTCTCGTTAAAATTTGAACATTAGACGTATACAAAAAAAAATCGCGACTAAAATATAATATATAAAACAAAATAAAAACTTTTAATTTTGAAAAATTCAAAGGGCTATAAATAAACTTAATACCGTCAGTATTTTAAACAGTAAGTCGTCTAGAAAAGGCTATTATAAGTATATTTAAAAATGATCACGTCTAATAAAAATTATTGTAACAAAAAATATATTTAATCGAGAATAACAGAAACCGTCATTATCTCCTGTAATTTTTTTATTGGAGCAATGTTTCCGATAGAAAAGTTTTTAACGGAAACAAAAAAACAATGGTTACATTATTATTCTCCGCTATGTTTAGAATCTAAAAACGTATATAGATTATTTTGTATATCTAATTGTTGTAGTAGCGTAACATAATATGTCGGAATATCTTAAAATACAAAAAATCACAATCCGAAAACAAGAATTTAAACTCAAATTTTGAATTACAAAATCCGAGTTTTGTTTTTATTTTTTGTATTTTCTACATTTAAAAAATGTGTATTTAGTGATTTTTTTTTAAAAAAAAAAATCCGAAATCTAGATTTTCCTACCACTAATTTGTCATTTATACTTGCTCAACAGGTAAAACAAATAATCGGTCCGGTGAAAAAACAAAGTGCGAACAAAAAAGATACGTCTAACCAAAGGTAAAATATTATTATTATACAGTGGTCGCCGCTGATATTGGACTCACTTTAGCACCAGACCATTTGAGTCCATTAACCGAATGAGTCAATAAGGCGAATGACTCAAAATCAATTTTTAAGAAAATATGTACTTATAAATAAGTACCTAAATATTAAAATTTTTATTGAGTTTTCAGCTATTATATGTAATAGAATAACGTACGGGTATAGAATAAAAACGATTTTGTTTAATTAAAATTAAAGTAGTAAAATATTGCAATATTAACCTAGATAGGTAGGCACCTAATTTTTTCTGATAAAAAATCTCCAATTTATCTCCACGATAAGAATAAAATACCGGTACCTACCGTAAATTCGCATTTATAGCACGTTTGTTCTATGCAAATGCACATATTTTATTTGTTTATCTTATTTTCAAATGACCCCGTTAACCGGTGTGCGAGTATAATAGATGAATTTTTTTGCTGCGTATTAGTATACGTGCAAATCGGGACAGCCGTTTTGAGTCTAACAGGCGAACGAGTCAATTAACCGCGCGAGTGACCAATAAGCGGCGACCACTGTACACGACGTGTATCACAATATTAAACAATATTATTCTGCAGGATTGAAGAAATAAAAACCGAATATTTCAGCTTTTCTGAATCCGAATATAAAATATCTATTATTATTATTATTATTTAATATTCACTCGAATTACGGGATTGCGAATAGTTTGCAAGTATTTTCTGCTGTGCTCGTTTTATTTTTGGATTTAAAAACTGCTATTTGATTCGTTTATTATTGACTATGGTTCTTTTTCCCCTCACCCGAAAATAAATAAGTAATTTATATTGAAAATATGTTTAAAACATAATATTATAGGTATCTGTAAGAAAAAAAAAAAATTAGTGCACCTAGTTCGTAATATTACTATAACACGAGCTACACGTTTTTTTGCAAAGACAATATCTTTTATCAATATCAATATATATATATTTACAATACAATTTTTAGTTGTTTGATATTGTTTTAACTGTTGAGAGACAGTAAATATTCTGAGAATCGTGTTTAAATATAATTATAAACAGCATCTATATAATATAATAATAATATTTGCCGTGACTGGCTACTCGTGACAAGTACAACAATATACTCGGTTTAATATTTAAGTAGTAATACGATCGTTTGGCTTTTTCTTTTGATATTGTATTTACCAATTGTATTAACTACTTTTAATTTTAAAATTTGCGTAATCTATAATGCCCAAACACAAACGACAAACAACACAATACATATAATAACTAGGGCCGACAGAAATATGCTCTAAACATCTATTAAATGCAGTTATGCAGTTATGGCCTAAAAATTACCAATATATGCCCTTAAAATACTTAAAATATGCTATTGAAAAAAAAAAATAATAATAAAAAAATCAATAACGAATCCAAATTATTTTAATATTTTATTGGAGTAGGTATAGGTACTGTATGTTTGTATGACTGTTGATCGTATATGCTCAAAAAAAAAAAAAAAAAAAAATGATATTTCAACGATTACGTATATTTTTGTATATTTAATATATTATTATATTTCCCTTTCGGAAATTTTCTTTATCTGACAACCAAACGAAAATACATTTTAATGAAAGAAATTTGAATTCTTACCAGATTTTAACTAAACTATGGGTATCTAGTATATTATCAGCTCGTCTGCTGAATGCTGGTGTATATATATATTTTGAACGATATTGACTTGAGTCCTTTTTCAAAAACTAAATTAATTTAATTTGGTATCACGACTTGTGATAAGACGCATATTAGACATACAATTCAGTCATGCAATTATCCATTCGATAGTTTAAGTAAAACTATCGAATATAATCGATAGTCAAAATTATGCCTTGTGTCCATCACTAATTACGCATAACATATCAATAATTTGATAACAGTTCTACATATGTTCAAACTAGTGGTACCAGTAGACACGGCACAAAATTGCATACAAAAAGTTAATATTATGAGATATGACAAAAATCGACTTAAGCCTTTTTGCACAAACACCGTCCAATCATTTTGCGATTCTAGATTCGTTGAGTTAAAATTGTCTTAAGAATTTACGAAATCCTAAATACCCTTTAAAGAAGCCATGAAACACGCTCTAAGACCGCATCAAATACTAAAATATGATCCAAAACTTTCTAAAATATTGTACACAGACTCGTTAGATTATGAAACACATTTTAGTATTAACCAACTATTTTTTTTTGGCCAACTTATAAATGCATAAAAATGTTGGCCCTAATAATAACCGTAGGTTAGGTTATTATGACCGTATATATATATAATGGATAAATCGATATAATTATTTTTAGAATAGGTCGTATTTTATTGATTTTAAATTCCTATCCTGCAGCTTTCATATAGCCCCATAATAATTAAAAATTATTTTAAACATAAGCGCATGACAAAAGTTTTCTAGGTAAGGTATCCGCTATACTAGAGGGGATTTATCAATTCCGCCGAACATTAGTAAATTTTGATGCCGCCGGCTATCGATTACAAGTAAAATGGGCATGGCTGGTTTCCGCTAAAAACTTATCTTTCCCTTTTTCGCCGATTCTCGTTTCCGCCAAATCATAAAATTGGTAGATTCACTTTTCCGCCAAATGAAAGAAATCAGATACTCAAATAGGTCAAATACTCGAATATTAATGCACAATTGTAAATTTTACAACTATTAATTAGATTGAAAAATTAATTAAAAACTATAAAGTTTTTTCTATTTATGTATGATACAAATTGTGTTTATTATTTTTTGAATACAAGGTAAAAATAGTTGTTAATAACGATTGTCGTACCACAATATTATACACGAAAAATATCAAAAATATAATCACTATTTTTATTATTGTATAAGTTTAAACTTATTTGTATTATTTGTTGTTATTATTATTATACATTTTGTTTTGTAATACAATAACAATAATTTATGACACAATCGTCCATTAATATTCAAATATTAGACTAAATTTGTTCATTTGGCGGAAAATAGAAAGATACATTTTTGGCGGAAACGAGTAACTCTCAGTAGAATATAAATATAATAAACAGGCCAGACACTTGAACACTGCATTTGGTTGAATAAATTAGAAAAGAAACTCACTCACTAATTGATTCACTTAAGAAGAATTTTTGAAAATTCAATCCCCAAAATGGGGGTGAAAGTCAAAATGTTTGCGGACGGAGGGCACTAAATTGGAGGATAAAAATGTGGGTACACACCGAACTGTACAAACACATAAAAATAGACAAAGTCATGAGTAATACTGTTTGTGTAGATATTATTACACATTATACATTACATGTACTTCTATAAGAATATATTATATATATGTGTATTCCAATAGACATTGCGTATTATCGCGTCGGTTCCACATCGTGACCGTCGTAATCTTTGTAATAAATATAAATTCATTCGAAAAACCGGAAATCAGAGATATAACTATAAATCAACATTTTCCAATATAATGGTCTCGTGTTCAAATAATAAACATTTAGTAATGGTTGTAATCTTTCGTGCCTTACACACCATGTATAAATGAATTTTAAAATAATTTTTCGTGAACGATTTGTATAGAAGTTACTATTGATAATAATAATAAAATACAGAATGAGTATCAACATGTAAATAAGTTCGGCGGAATCAACATGATGTAATGCCCAGCACTATCGATACGTTTTTCACAAGTAAAAAGGTTATTTCGGCTAAATCGATATATCGGGTGATCCATTTAAATGAGTACACTCATTATCTCCGAAGGAAAATATCAACTTTTTCCGGAATTTGTTTTCTAGAAAATTTAAGAAACAAGCGGCTCTACAATTATATATTTTTTGGGAATAAACCACTATCCACTTTTGATTTTCAAATGGCAACCTACTCTCCTCCAACTCAAACTTAAAAATGGAATATTTCGTCAACAGATTGTGGGAAATCAAACATTTCAACACTAAAACTTATTTTTAACTAATATATAATAATATATTTATGGACTTTTTAAAACAGGTTGCCATTCAAAAATCAAAAGTAGTAGTATTAATAAGCGTATTTCTTTAATTTTCTAGAAAACAAATTCCGGAAAAAGTTAATACTTTCCGAAATAGTGAGTGTACCCCCTGAAATGGATCACTCGGTATGCCCATTTTAGAGTACAGTACTGATAGTACCTGTATAAGTTCATTATTTTGGTACCGGTGACACAGCCAGGATTTATCAACGTGGGAGGGGAAAAACCTTCAGAACATTGCGGGTGTTTTGTACACTGTTTATGGGTAGCACACGGTGAAAATTAAGATATTTATAGGTTACCTATGGCTCTGTATAAAAAGTTTTATCAACATTAATAGGAAATTAATATGTACACGAAATGACGTGGTATTAACGATTCTCATTAAAATTTGACCTTTATGAATAATTATAAAGAAAAAATAATACACAATTATAGTTATACCCTATACCAAAACATTCATCGTACGCTCAGAATCGATAAACGACATACACGATAAACGTAAAAAATTACGATAAAATTATAAGTAAAATTACGGTAAATGACAACTGATTAGCACGAACAGAAAAAAAAAAAACACAATTTTTATTTTCAAACATTTATTATTTTAGATTATGTCATACTTTATACACGTTTCTATTTTTCAACGTACCTATCTAATGCAATATGAAAAATAAAAAAAATTTATTCCCGTATTGAAAATCTCAATTTTCAACGCTTTCGTTTTTCCTATAATATATTTTATCCGGCGGTACAGGCGATCCGGGCCGAAGGTAATTCCGTCCCTCGGGCTGTTAAATGATTCTTCGTAGGATTTAGTAGTACCGAGGGAGCTTCCGCGACGAGATTGTTGGTTTTAAACGTTGTTAGTGGACCGAATGTATCTCCAGTAACCCCCCCTCCATCTAGTTCTATAATATAATTATAATTGGATATCAATATCGCTGTAATCGTATTTCTATATTAAAAAAAAAAAAAAACAATTTCAGAGCGTCGAAACTCACAGACGAAGCGTTGGATAGCAAAAACCCAGTGGAATTTTGGAATATAACCGGCGAACGACGGACTACAACAAACATTAAGACGGTTGGAAATGAAGATTTTGTTGACAACTCCGAAGTACCGCCTTTAGAATAAAATATGGATAGGTACGCGTATAGTTCTTATACAGACACCTGTCTATATCGATTTGTGTTGTATTTTATATTATATAATTATTTTTCACGTACGCACATTCCCTTATTTTATTGCAATACGCAAACAGTGGCGCCGAACCATGTTTTAAGAAAGTGACCAGCTAAAATGTTGTAAACAGACCACAGTCCTCGTTTACAACAAAACAAGCTCCATTACGACGGTCTCAACACAATATCGTATTGACACGTGTACCAGTTCGATAAAAACCGTGGCTCAAATATCCCCATCGTCACCGACCCATTACAAAGAGGGGTGGCGACCGTTGGTTTCGGCGCCACCGACGGTAAACATGTTTAGTTTCAAACGTTAAGATTTAATGTATGCCTTTTATGTCCGTATACGTTCAATGTTCATGGTGGACAATCTCTGTCCAGTTAAAAATTGCAAGGGTCACGGGAGAATTATTTTTAGAAGTGATGACGGTAACCCCTTAAATTCATTCAAACACTGCCTGTACCTAATGTTATATGTATCCGCCGTAACACCGAACCGGTCTAATTAAATCGGTAAAATTCAATAGCGACAAAAATCCCCCGCGGCTCGTATTCTAACGCAGCTGGTGGTGCTGTGCGTAGAGTACGTACCTGTGTGCTAAACTATGTCTATACCTGTGTATCTCGGATACACGGGTATCGACTATTACTTCACGGATCGAAATTATTATGGCCAGAGGTGTACTTTAAAAAAAGAAAACAAAAAAAACCTCGATTCTGATGTCGAGTGTAACACGGACGGCAAATATTCACCGAATTTACGAATAATTACAACGGTAATGTTACACTGGACAATAGAAGTTTTTAAGAACACAACGGCGCTTTATTTTAACCCGATTTCGCATTTACAACAGATACCTCCTCGAATATCTATAGACCATAACCAAATTACAATAGGTTTACGCGATACCTTACCCATACTGCTTGTCGATGAGAATACTAATAATATTTTGGGTTTTTTTTTTACTACGCGTAATTGTGCGCAGCTCAGAAAATACGACACGAATATTTTTTTCACCGTAATACACTTGTTTATATATTTTTGTCTTACAGATCATCGTTTTGTTTCTTACGTCATTCCATTGATACATTTTTTTTGCTTTTTGCGAGATTTCCTAACTATAGTTCCCTATAAACGTACATTTTTCTTTTGCATTAACTAAACAATGTTGCGCGTCTGATCACACATTTTCCATCTCGATTTTATATTTTAACACAATACACTGTTTACCCATATTTATTTACGAATTTCGCACTGTTACCTATTAACACGTTTATAGAGTGTTGTTTTTATAACTTATTGTGGTTATAAGAAAACACGTTTAAGGTCTCAGACAGGCAAGGACAGATTTTTTTATAACTGGTTTGATGTTTTTACATAACATACTGTAATATTATTTTCAACACCGATGATATTTTATACGCATATAATACGTAAAGTTAGTATACGTGTTTAGGGGGAAAAAATAATAGATACCAAATACATTAATTCTCAGTATGATTAAGCTTTTGCACAAGTTTCAGTGCTAATTTACAGTGTCAAATGTACGAAATAAACATACAATTATGAGATTTAATGAGTAATTTTTAATAAAGTCAAAATAACCAGTTGTATCTAAAAGAGTATTAAAAACATTTATTAAAGAATTAACACAATATAAGACATATGTACCTTATTAAAAACTTGCATAGGATATAAAGTGAAATAAAAAATATTGTTATTCATTAACACAAAACATATTATATTTATATAACATAACAAGCCGCTAAAAAAAAACAAAGAATAAGAAACAAGTTGCAAATGCAGCCAAATTCGAGTGTTTTTTTTATACCTATTTTAAAATTAATAATAAATCAACAACAAAAAAAATTGCGATAAAAAATATATTATAACACTAGAAGCAAAACGGAATACAAAATAATACAGTATTAGACTGAGCGTACATCTAAGCGGTGCAACAGCGCTGTCACCATAGAGCTGTCAACAATCTTATAACAGGACACAAATATATAGGTAGGCAGAAAAATAGGATCTATAGCAGCGGCTCTGCCGCACTGCATAGGTGTACACTCAACCGAAGGCCCATTGAAATTACTTTATTAAATATTATTTGTACAAAAATATTTATATTTTAGTAGTAAGGTAAATTGGATAATTGAATTTTTTTTTTTTTTACAGCCCATTATGAACGCTTTGAGCTTATAAGCAACAATCTTACAATTTATTACAACCCTACATGAAATTAGCTCACTCATTTATTATGTTTAAATTGATAAATAGGGTTTTACAAAAAAAAAGTAATAATAATTAACTTCCACCCGAGGACAACCAATACAATTTTGTGGTTTATAAGCCACTTACATTAATCTCTAGACAATTACGATGACGTCATGATTATCTCGTTTTTATTAAAACAATTAAGTATTACTATTAATGGTAACATAAATATTTATATAATATATTTTTCTTTGTATGATAAGGAACAGCTTTACAGACAACAATTATGCTAGGCGTTTAAATTATATGATATTTTGTCTAATAGGTCTTAAAAAAAATAAAAAGGTTTAAAAGTACACAATACAAACAACATTGTACGTATAGTTTTATCATAGAGGGCTTAGCAGAACTGTTCATCTTGGTGTTTCACAAAAATCTGTTAATTATGATAGTATTCATTAAAAATTGTCTGTATTAATACTTGCTACTCAACAACACCGATTAGACAATCTATCTGATTTTCTATCGATATTAATCTTTTCAGGTACGTCAGTAGGTTCACGTCCAGGGGTCTTGTTCAATATTGATAATGTGAGTTCGGTAAATGCTTTTTCTATATTTATATTAGCTTTTGCAGAAGTTTCCAAAAAAGAAATACCATGTTCACGAGCGATTCCTTCACCTCGGCCCTTAACCACAACACGTTTATCTTCCATATCGCATTTATTTCCTAAAATCATTTTTTCTACATCTTCATTAGCATGCTGAAAAAAAATACACGAGTAATTAAATAGCAATTAATATTATTTTAAAGAATAAATATTAAATTTAATGTATAAAATTAATAAGTACCTATTATAAATCTAATATATACCTATTTATATAATTTAATTTACAAATAATTGTTTTACAATGAATATTATTCCATTAAAACTAGGTTTGATGTTGTAATAAATTACAACATATAACAAATATATGCATTTTTAAGAATTCTTGAGGTAAATACTTTGAACCAGCTATGTGCCACTAAGGTAAGATCTAAATTAAATACTTCCATACTCACAAATAGTAGTATGTTGAGTACTGATATTTTAATAAACCTAAAGCTAATCATGTTTGTATTAAGAGGTCGGTGTTTGGTTTTATATAAATGAAATAATGGCTTTAAAGTTTTTTTCATTTATTTGATTCATTTAAATAATCACATTGACTAATAATATAGGTACACCATTAGTTTTAATTTTTAAATACAATAATAAATGCATTTAAAAATACAAACACCAACTCTTAAAATTTATTTAATATTAAAAAAAATAATATCTTATGTCAAACAAAAGTTATTTAATAATCGTTTAGATGAAACTAACTTAATTTAAATACCTAATGGTTATTGCCATAAGCTATATAACTTATTTTTTATTTTTTCAATATTTATGCTGTTTGTATTTACATTTTGTTATGGACACAAGCCAATATGATCTGATTATCATGCCAAAACATGCATACGGATTGAAAATTTGTAAAAAATAAATAAAAACTCACCTCATTGATATTTCGTAGCCATTTAACTATGTTTTCAAAACTTTTTTCATTTGTGATATCATATACCAACATAATTCCCATAGCTCCTCTATAGTAGGATGTAGTTATAGTGTGGAATCGTTCCTGTCCTGCTGTATCCCTAAAATACAATTATTCCTAATTACTAACATAAAATATAATACCTCTTATAATACTAAATACCCATAATTATAAAAAAAAAAGTCCATTTGAACATTTATAATATAAGATTGGAGTTTTATATTGTGATACAAACAATTTGTTTATCATATTTATGACCTAAGTAAAATTTCATACCTATACTTTATAACTATGTGCATAATAAACTAAATAACCAGACACAACAACAACCATAAGTAATATGAAAATAATCTTAATATTAAAATTTAATTCTTACCAAATTTGAAGTTTTATTTTTTTCCCTTGAAGTTCAACTGTTTTAATTTTGAAATCAATACCTGAAAATAAATTATTGTATTTAGATATGTATTTATTAAATTAAAAAGAATTATAATTGAGGGTTTATTCAAATTTCATGAAAAGTTTTAGTAAATTATTAATTTCATTTTTAAGAGGGAGGGGGAGGGGAATTTCTTTTAATCAGTCACAACCGTTTTAGCATTAACATACTGATAATAAAATATAAATTCAAATATAAGTATACATAAAAAAAAATGTAATCTGCTTTTATAGTCTTTATAGATACATAAAATAAATAAAATGTTCTACATTTTATACCTACATACTTTGAAAGTAAATCAACTTGATGTCATATAGACATCAAGGTTTATTATGTTTATCATTCATATTTATTATAGTGGAAACAAACCAATAAAAAGTAACGATATTTTCTAGTCTTTGAAGACAACTTGTAGCAATATTTGTATTAGGTATGAATAGATACCTTTTTTTTTGGGGTAACAATTAATAACTTATTAATCTTATAATTAATAAATAATACTATTTTTTCTTCGGTTATACAAATAACTAAAGATCACATTCATAAAAAAAAATGTATTTAATTATTATTATTTAATATCCTCAAAAATATTATTTGTTTTCAAATAAATTATAAGTGCTTAGCTTTAAAGATACTTCCCAGTAATTTATGATCTTTGAGGACGTGATTGTTTTTGTGCAATAGATAATGATGGATAAAACTTTGGTGGCTTAGTCCTCTTAACAGAGATATTATAAGAACTACTAGAATAATTAATTTTTCTGTTTTCATTATTAAATACCTAGATACCTAACATTTTTACTAACAATGATTTAGATAAAATACAATTGTCAGATATCTATTTATGGTATAAATTAATTATTGTATGTTCAATTCTTTTATTACCTACGTTCCATTATTTAAATTTTATTCTGTTACACAAATAGTTATTAATAAATAATTTAAAAATTGAACAGGTGTAGATGTATTATTATATTATTAAATTTAAACAATGTATTAAGTACTTAATCAAAAGCAATAAAAAAACAATTTATACCAATTATACATTTAGAAACTTGTTGATATTTTTATGTATTTCACATTGAACAAAGAAATTTAAAGTGAAATACTTTAAGTAGGTACAGAGGATAACACTAATGGAAATCAGTGTTCACATGTTTGGTAATCTTACAAGAAATCTTGATAATCATTGGAAAAACCAAGGTATTCTGGAATCTGGAGTACACAGTATTTATAAGTGATTTACCCCCTAAGTAGGTACCTACATAGGTATTTTATCATTAACATTATTATGTTTTTGGTCGATTTTTAATACTTTTAAATGTAATACGTAAATGAATACTTAAATATGTACCTACTATAATGCTATAAATAATTGGTAATAAATTAAAGTAGGTAATTTTCTACACAGTTTGACCTATTAATTTACTATTCATTAGAAAACCATACCAAAATGTATTAAGATATAGATATTTAATAAATAATAATCCTACTTCCTAGTGAATATTAAATTCCGACTTTGGTGTCAACAACTGTGTACCCAACTGATTATAGACAAGGTAGGTCATTGTACTCTTATAAAATGTTTTGCTTATTCCAACTGGATGCTCTGCACATGCTTATGAATATTATATTAGTAGATATGCTGTGGATATTGTAATATACATATATAATATTATGTTATATAATATAAAAAAAAAAAAGCATAAAATATGTAAAATAATATACCTAGGTATCAATTCCATAGTATCTGTAAATAGGTAATACATAATTATATAGACTACATTTCTTTTGTACCTATTATTCTCACTATTATTAAACTGGCCACTTTTAAAATTTATTATCTAACAAATAAAATTTGTTATGATATGGAACAAAATTGAGTAGAGGTAGGTAGATAAAAATAAAAATGTCTATTATATAATAAAAATACTGATCTCCTCTTTTATTTTTCATATTAAATTGTGGTAATTTAGTTTTCCCACGAATAAAGATTAGATACTCAGTACCTTCAATAATCCAAAATCTATGTTTTTTCAATAAACCCATCTAAATAATTTATCAATATAAACAACTTAATGTGAAGTGAACATTAAATATATTCAATGTAGGTAAATAGGTAAATACTGATATAGTACCTTATTTTATGATTGAAAATATTATACAGGCAAACATTTTATAGGTATGTAGTTTTTATCAAAAATGTTTAGCATAAAGTAAGTAAACACGTGAATAAAACATATTTTCAAAAAACTTACTAAGTATTCTACGAGCTTGAATATTTAATGTTAAGTACAAATAGGAAGTTATTAATCTAGTTTTACACGACTGACAGCTCACATGGGTAGTAAATATAAGTAATTATTTTAACGATGTCTATTTAATTTAATTTTTATTTAAATAAATACATTAAATGATAATGGTAGGCAAAGTTGAAGGACTTTACACCTGCTCTAGGTATATATTTTCCTTTTTGTTATACAGTAGGTAAACCTCTGTTTTTATTATAGGTAGGTAAATGATCTTCAATCTTGAAATAACATATTAAAATAACAAAGAAAATAATTGAATAGATTTTCTTGGAATTATAAAAAAAAAAAAATGATCATAGATTGACATTTAAAATAAAATTATTACTAATAAAGTGCTTATTACATCACTGTAATCGCACAACTAAATGCAATCGACCTCGATAAAATAAAGATATCATTTGAAATGCAATAATTCACTTTAAATTGCATTCCACAAAATAATATATTAACTTAATCCACAATATTTCACGTTGAAAATAATTCAATAGCAATTAATAGGTTACCAATAACCTACCTACTACAATAATAATATTTAACCTCGGATGTAAATTAATCTTGGGTAAGTAGGTACAGAGAGTTGTATGTACTATGTATTATAGGTATTATACCTAGGTGGTAATAATATTTAAAAAATATCAACGGATTTCATGAACAAGAAACCTATCCTGTTGTTAGTAGATGAAAAATGAGCAATATTTTATTATTTTGACCCTATGTTTGGGTTCAGTAAATAACAAATCGCTGAGTTTACACCACTCGTACGAAATAATAGGTACTTTGTTCACGTCAACTTTAAAACAAATCACAAGGTCGTCGCGTAACGGACTGATATTAGATGTCTAAACCCGAAGATACGGTCTTGAACTCGGATGATGTAATACTTTTTGTATAAAGGTAACCGGGTAACGTTTATTATTTGTGTGGGGGGCGGGGGCGGGGGCCGGGGCAGCAACAGATACAAAAAAAGGTAGGCATCACATAAATTAGAAAAACGGAGGCAGAGAGGTGCAGGCCGAAGGGCAACGTGAGTAATACACAGCGGAATGTGCATTGTGCATCGACGCCCGGGATATTCCGATTGACAAAAACGATCAACAGCGGCGGGCCCGCGAAGGAGACAAAGTAGTGACGTGCCTACGGTTTTTTTTTTTTATCCTGGAAATTACATTTATGTATCCTTTAATGTCTCTCACCGATTGTCGAGATGAACGTCGTGGTGAACGCGTCGTCCGAGAACCTGAACAGGATGCACGTCTTGCCCACACCCGAATCGCCGATCAGCAACAGTTTAAACAACAGATCATACGTCTTCTTGGCCATGGTGTGTGCGCGACGGATTCTCGTTTAACGCAAAACGACTGCTGGCGATAATATTATTAATTAATAATCAGCGAGCTACGATTCACGCTGGCACTGAGCGCGTGTAACACCGATCGCGGTGGAACAACAGTAAAAGGGTCGACGCGAATCCCGCACGTCCGTAACCAATATGGTGAGATCGCGAACTGCAAAGCGGAAATACGGAATGCCGACTATCGCCTGTTTAATGATAATTGTTGATAATGTCTCGTGCGGATGTGTCGGTCGGAAACGGGTGCGACGGCGACTATAGATAAGTGGGCTGGCGATGACTACGACGCGCGACTGCGAGTGTACATTTGATACTGTGATGTCAGATTGTCGGCGGCTACGTTCTCGAGGAGTGTCGGTGCGCGGACGGCACGACACGAGATGAAAACGGTACTACAGTGAAACACGAATGATTAACGAAAACGCGTTATCGCAGCCGTTTGGGACATAGTGCGTCACGACGTACAGGCCCGCCCGAATGCGTCGTCGCTCTACCCGGTCACACTGTCGGCGCAGCCGTCCGTAGCATAATACATTTCTTAACATATCTACTTGACTGATAAACTACGATGGCGGGCTGATAAGTGATGTCTGAACGCGTAGCTTTGAAACCATAACGAATCAAAAACACGCGGACAGCGAATAAATCAATCTTTATTTACATACTATTATTTTTCAACATGACTACCTTCTAGGGTGATACATTTCTGTCAACAATTTACTAGTTTAGAAAATAACATTACACGATTGCATCTTCGCAAACACTAAACCGACGGCATAAACTATTAAATGTACACCACATTAAAATTTTATCGTAAATCTTAAAATAACTACGAGATAGAGGCATTACTTATCAGCCTGACCTCGTACATGTATTTATTTGAAACAATGGGATAACTCCGAAGATTTTAATTTTTTCAAAAATGTATAGAATCATATATTTTTGATAGGTATATGATTTTACTACAGATTATTATTAGGTACTATTCTATTTTCAGAATCTAGTCAAATTTGGTAAGTGTTTAGAAAAGACCAACTTGTCAAAAGTCCTATAATAAATATACTACTGCCCAAATTGCAGCTGCTTTGGCAAACTTGACTCACTTTTCGTGCTTGTTCCAAAAAGCATGAAGTTCCTACCATTGTATTATACAGACACAAAACATTTGAAAAAAAAAATCCTAACAAAAACATTAAGAAACAAGGTGATCATACTGTTTTAAGTGATTAAATTGTGAAAATATTGATCGAACAATTAATTACTTGTTCAAATTGGTGATATCCTTTAACTGCCTTAGACTTAAGATTCATTGTCAAATTTTACTTTGATAGGATAGGAAAAACAGTAAACAAATTTAAAAATAACATAGCTGATTATAACTTCGTGCTATCATTTTTAAAACGTCACAAGGATGTATTAAATCAAAGACTTTACTAAAATATTAAATGAGCTAGAATACAAGTAGGTATGCTCAGTGAACACAATAAATTTATAACCTTGAAAAATCTATAAAAGATGTTGAGCCTGAAAATGTGATAAATTATACGACGAAACTAATCTGAACATCTAATCATCATAAGTCGGTATACTTTTCGTTAAAATTAAACCAGGAAAAAAAGTATTAATAGGTGATAATTTGTCTACCTATTTAATCATGGCTGAAATTCAATAGTGTTCAAAATATAATATTGAATATATTTTCCTGACTCCTAATTCGACACACGTAACAATCATTATTGGCGTCAAATTTTAACAACTTGGAAGATGATCATAAGTAGTAGAGAATCATCTGTTCTCAAAGATCAATTTTCTAAGTTTTTAAATAAACTATTCCGAAAAATCGAAGAAAAAGAATCTGAAAATATAAAAACTGGCTTCAAAAATTGTAGAATCATACCATTAAACAGACAACCAGTTATAAATATGCTCCCTCCCGAGCATAAAGATTCTGTTAATTCCAAGGTCGAAGTTATTAATAAACCACTGGTACCAATTATCAAAAAATATCTAATATTATAAAATATATAAATCCAAAAAGACGTTAAATAACAGTTAAATATTTTTAAAAATATACATCAACTTCTTATTCGTCCTAAACTTGGTAGAAAAGAAAAACATAAGCAAAAAAAAAATGTTCGTTCCTATTCGTTCCAACTTAGAGTAAATAGGAATACGTTTTTGAATAATTTTATAAAAAAAAGCTAATGTATTCACAAACTTCCTATTTACGCTAAGTTGTCCACCTACTTTGCTTCTATCTAAATCAATTTTAAAAATACATATTTGAATTTAATTTGTATTTAACGATAAACCATTGCTAACTAAAATGATTCTGAGCTAAGTTTGGTTGTACGAGTTTTGAAAGGCCGTAATAATATTTACGATTTTTTTGATATAATTTAAATACTGGCGGTCGAATATCTGATCAATAGCGTGCCATGAGGGCTCTAGTTGTATAAATTTAAACTGGCACACGAACTAAGATAATAATATCTTAGTTTGTGAACTGGCGTGATACCACGACTTAAGATATATATAAATATATTTAAGGTAAATTTTACACTGTCCATGATACTGAGAATTATTATTACTCTAAGCTGAGAGCAGTCTTCGATAATACTGTGATATCGTGTTGCTGTTCCGCATTCTGTATAATATCTTAATTCGTTATTTAGACATTATAATATTATAACCAATCAGTAAATAATACAATAATTCTGCTCTCTAAATATATTATGCTATGATATGACCACCGCCTGCATTATACCACAGATATCTATACCATAGTATGCTATTCTAATCACGACTAAAGATATAATTAGGGATGTGCGTTACTATTCCCTTTTTAGCGCCTTTTAGAAGTCTTCACTTCGTGCATTTGTGGTTATTTATTGTCCTTATAACGCCTACAAAGGAATGTTTACGCAATTTGGGAACCACTGGTCTTTCTTATCAAATATTGCTAGCAGAAACATACATATAAAATTTAATAGTAAATTAGCGTGTTGTTTGTAATTAAATTGTAATATAATTTTTTGATTGGAACTAATAATTGGATACTTAGTTATTACCTAAATAGAAGGATTAATGATAAATCGTTAATCATTTGAGATGGAATTAACGCTTGAACAAAGGAAACGAATCGAGGAAAACAGGAAAAAAGCATTGCTAATTAGACAAGAAAAATCAAAAGTTAGAGTATCTGCACAACCATATCAAAAGTAAATTAGATATTTTCAAACATACTTTCACTAAAATTGAAATGTACTATATTCAATTTTAATATCGATTTTTTTTTTTTATAAATCAAATACAAAGGCCTGTTAAACAAGCACAGTCAGACAAAAATGTTGTAACAGTTGCTGGACAATCTTATGTTGATACTGAAGCTGGGTTTTTGCTTAATGAGGATGATTTGTCAGATAAAATCAAACCAGTATGATGATTTATTATGTGATTTACTTAATAATAGACTATTTTGATGAATTCAATCATTTAATGTTGTAAACCATATTTAAATAATATTTTTTAAGTCTTAACAATACTCAATAATTTTAAATATTTTTGACTAATAATTAAATATAAATAAATTTGTAATATTTATAAACGTATTTAATATTTAGGTAGTATTAGCACAAGAACCAAATCCAATATTACCGAAAACTGAACAACCGACATGTATAGAATGTAATCAAGAATTTGGCATTTCTTATTTAATGACACATTTTGATCATCCTGTTTGTGATAGATGCAAGTATGTTATATTGGTACAAATTACAAATTAATTTAGCTGTAAAGAATTAAAATATTGATCAATACTTATATAATCCAAAAATTAGTATAGTTAGATTTTATTATATACAATTTTGTTTGTACTTTTGTATAGAGAAAAATCTGGAAAAGATAAATTTGATTTAATCACCAAAACAGAAGCTAAAAAAGAATATTTATTAAAAGACTGTGATATTGATTTGCGTCCACCACCACTAAGATATATTCTTGGAAAAAATCCACATAATTCCAGATGGGGTGAAATGAAATTATATCTTTTACTTCAAGTAAGTAAATAGAAATAATATAGATTTATAGCAAAAGGCATATTAATTAAATTATAAGTATCTACATAATTAAAAAATTATACATTTGAATTTGATATTTTTTTTAGTGTTGAAATTTATTTTAACTAATACTAAATCTATTTATAGACTTTTTATTATAGATTTCTATTTGAAAATTAAAATTAGGTTGTTGTTTTACCCCCAAAAATAAGGGTGACAAAAATAACACAAATATAAAATTGTGGAGTAGCTTGTTTCTTAAATGTTCTAGAAAACAAATTCCTGAAAAAGTTAATACTTTCCGATATAATGAGTGTACCCACTTAAATGAATCACCTGGTACATAAATAGGTGTTTATTAATATTAGTATTTTATTCTATAAGACGACACAAATTTAAAATTTAAATGAAGAATGGAGCACATATTTCAACTTTTTTTTTTGGTTAATAAACAGCAATGGTGGATCTGTCAATATTGCTGCCCCACTGCTGTCATTGTTTATTATAAATAAAATTTAAACATAATACATTGAAAAGTAAGGGGTGTGAAAGACCTCTCTACTACAACCCCTTACAATTCAGCAATTAAATTGTTTGAGTTGAGATGAATACAACTATTTTCAATAACTGCTTATCTGAGTTAACTCGATAAAACATTTTCAACTTGTAGATAAGATATGTTCTTATCGAGATACAGTATAGTATAATACTTTAAATATTTGATGTTTAACATTTATAGGTTGAAAAAAGAGCATTAGAAGTCTGGGGTTCTGAAGAAGAAGTTGAACGACAAATTGAATTAAGACAAGAAAAGCAAAAGATTTCAAAATTAAAAACGTATAAGAAAAAAGTTAAAGGTATAATAATTATTTTTTTAATTAATTTATGTTTTATTAGATTTTTTTTTTTTTTAGAATTAAGAATGTCAACTCGAAGTAGTTTATACACAAAAGTCACAAAAGCATCTCATGAACATGAATTTGATGCAGAAATTTATAATGAAGAAGATGATAATTATGAACGTACTTGTAGTTCTTGTGGATTTCATGAAATTTTTGAAAAGATGTAGATATTTTTTTTAATATTATAATTTAATTTATTATATATTTTATTTTAATTGTAATAAAACATTGTATTTATTTTTTTTTAATTGTAATAAAACATTGTATTTTTGTATACTCTTTTTTTAAATATAAAATTTCACTAGTATTCAAAATGCAAGTTTCTTTGGGACATTTATTACCACTTTGCACCAAAACTATTGAACAGATTTAACTGAAACTTTGCATAGATGTAATTCTAAACCAAGAATAGGCTACTTTCTCCCCATAACTCAATCCTTATGGGCTGAGAATGAAGTGTAAAATATATTAGGCACAAGTTTGGATGCTTGTGACTCGATCACTCAGGGCTGATATAGGGTTTGGAACAAAAACCAAATTATTTTTTTTTGGCTTAAGATAGGCAACTTACCTTAGTAGTTAGGATAGAATAGGAGAACTAATAGGTATATTAGGAAAATGTGTTTTTAAAAGTTTGCTGTCGAATGCAGTGATAGGGACGAGATAGGTACTAGGAAGTCACAAGGTAATACATTTTATTTTTATATATTTGTCGTTCAATACCGACACAGGCAAAGCCATGTGGGATGGCTAGTACCTATTATAAATATCTTTTGACTTTGATCAGATCTCGTATTATAAAATGTAATATATAATATTCTCATAGTTATGGCCTTATTAAAAAGCAAAATTTGTTTGCATACGAGTTGTTTTCCAACTATGTAGTTTTAATTAGATAGTGTGACAATACATAACTATATTAGCTCAGTTGAACACTACCTGATACCTACTTGACCACAAACAGTTGTCATGTGTGTGATTATTATATTATATCAGGTTTGATTTTATATTACTATCAATTGTTTTAACAGATTTCAAAAAAAAGAGTTCTCGATTTGTTTGTATTTTTATGTATATTTGTGCATAACTTAATTAAACATGCTTTAATTTAATTTGACTTTTTTAATTTTTATATTCTGAGCAGAGCGAGTAATGCATTGGTTTTTATAATGTTTATTTATTCCTTAACTTTTTCTGTGAACAACTTTTCTACCAGAAATATTGCTCCAATTTTAAGTTTGGCACGTTATCTGAAAGGAAATTGTACTAGGGTTGTATTTTAGGGAGGCAATTTTTTGATATTCTCAAGGGTTTTCATAGTAAATGGGAAAAACCAGGAAAATTTACAAAATGTATAATTTTTAAATCGTAAATATTACTTTCACAACTTCTCGCATACTATAGTGACCACCCAAAAATAATAATAGACACTATTCAAATTAGGCAAATTGTTTTAAATAATTTAATTTTAGCCCGAGAGTTTATTGTTCTTTTATTTGCTTCAATATTTGAAATATAAAATAATGAAAACATCTAAAATTAATATTACATTAACAAACAAATTAGAAAAATAAATAATAATACAATTTTAATTAAAAATGTGTTGTTACAAGTCCGTCTAAATTTTGTACATATAAATAACAACCAGGAATAATAATTTTTATGACTAGAAACTAAAGTCAGACAGTTTAACGAGTCGTGTATTTGGCACACGTCTCACCCAATTCGTTGAGCCACGGTTCAACTGATCAAACTTATATAAATATCTCATGCATTCTAACCAATTTCCAAACACAGGCATATCCGGTGGCATACCTGCAGCTAATCTGTTAATAAAACTAATATTAAAATGCAATTAATTAAATTATTTAAAATGTCAACATACCCACAGTTATTGATTGCTGTGCAAGCAGTCACAACATTAAATGGATATGTTGCTGCACTGGCTAAATACTGTAACAAAAGTATATATATTTTGAAATAATTATAATTTCATACAACCATTTCTTAAAACTAAAATGGTAGTATGTTAAACTTAGCATTAATATATTAATTAAAAAAGATATTTATTTTACCGAAGCAATAAAATCAGTTATGTTCAAAGCCATGGGTGTAGGATCAATTAAAAAATGGGTAAATGCTTGTTTTGCCACATTAATTAAAATCACAGTGCCCAAACCAGCCATAAGACGTGGAATAATACCAGAATAAAATCCACTTATTCCTTCTTCCCGGTTTATAAGTAAAATTGATTGTAATACATACCTAACATTTTCAAAGTATACATAGTTTATATTATATTTACAAGTATAAATAAATAAATAATTTTTATACTATAACTTACATGTAACGATGTTCATAACCTACAAATTGGGCCATCATTCTCATTGATACAACTTGTAATGGGTGGCTCAAAATTATACTTGTAGCAGTACATATTATTTCTTTTGATGTGTTTATTGCACAATTTTTCCATCTAGATGAAAATGATATTATTATTTTTATAATATATAAATCCAAAATTCATATAAACAACTGAAATACTAAGCTAATGGGTTTGAAATGTTCAAATTAAATTTTGTTAAGTTTAAGAAATTAGCACACTTTTAAATTATTAATATGTATCAAGCTAATTTACGAACTAATGTCTTTTTGGTGAAATCTATTTTGATTACTATATATATATGTATAAATTATAGTAAAAATAAACTTACTGGAAAATATACATATAACATATATATATGTATACAAAAAAAAAAAAAAAAAAAGTAAATTGTAAAATTTTAAATTTTCTATAATGAGAATGTTAAATATTTTTTTTTCGATTTAAAATGAATTACTTAAAATAATAATTATTAAGGATCTCAGCCTTATATATACATACATTTAAAAATGCTATAAAAATAAATATATTAAACAATGAATAATTAAACTTTTAAACAAAAATAAAATAAATAAATAGTAATAAACCATGGCATTTGAAAAATGGGTATAGATTAATAATTTAACACAAATGTCCAATACTTATACATTACATCTTACACAAAATAAGCAAATAGAAATACTTACAATTCTAATTCTGAATCAAATTGTACATTTTGACTTTTGTCAGTTTTGATATATTCAGCTACAAGCGATGTTGAAAAATGTTCAACACAAATCCCTATTATCTTTGGACCAAATCCAGTATACAATCCCTTAAATCCATCCACTGAATAAATGTGTTTAGCTGAAAATAATAAGATTGTGGAGATTTAAATGTACAAAAATAATTCAATATATAGATTGATTGTTTTGTACTATTAAGATCAATATTCATTTACATTAAGTTCAGGGGATAATGCCTAAAGAATTGATGATTTAATTTGTATAAAATAAGATATTGATATCAGCTACTTTAATAATTTGTGACAAAATACATTATAAACTTATCTAATTTATAAGACATGCTATAATTTTATGTATTTCAATATTTTTTTTAATAATGCCCAACCCTAATCAATTAATCTTCTATCTGAAAAGTTAATATTGTGATATTACTTAAACATAAAAACCTTAAATTTTTGAATAACACCGATTAGGAATTGTGATTTATAAAAATTAATTATTAGTATATACGTATATAAATAAAATAATTACCATATACTATTAAATTAGGGTAGATTAAACGTTTTCCACCAAACATTGATCTGTAATAATATGGTGACAGAGGTTCATGACCAATCTGTAGAAAAAAAAAATGTTATATACCTACATTAATCAAATAAATCAAATGCACAATCTATAAGTTGAACTAGAGTAGTTATGGTATGTATGTATTAATATTAATCTGAATTTACACTTGTCACATTCTCTTTTTCATTAAATATGATCTATGCAAAATGCACACCCTCAAAATATGTTATGAATAAGTATATTTTAAACAATAGGTATATTACAATACTATAAATATTTGTTTCCGCTGGTGTAGATAGCAATTGTTTAATACATTTAATAGATACAAAATACTGAACATGTGAGTTTCAGTAGGTATTTGATTGAAAAAAAAAAAATTAAGGAAATTAAGAAAATCTAACTGGAATGGTACTACAGGAACGAAATGTATTATTTTAAAATCATAAATGTTAAGACCTTTTAAAACATGTTTAACTAAACTCCACTCAGACTCGTTTTTTTTTATTAACCTTTGTGTATAAATATACCTAGGTGTGTAGAAATTCTCCTTTACCATCCCAACTTTTAACCTACAATAGTGGCCCATCCATCATGTGAAGTATGCTCGTTAGGTTTCTTTAGATTTGCATAACAAAATAATAAAATTGAGTAAGATGTAAAATATACAAAAATTATAATATTTTGTTTATTTTTTTAACTTTTATGATATTACATAAAATCTATAAATTGAATTATAAAAGTAGGCATGTTGATAGAAATATAAATTAGGATATGAATGACATGAACTGAATGTCACCCAGCAGCAATACTTTCTGATAAAGAAGGTTGTTAACTATAATATGAGATTAAAAAAGTAATAAAAAAACCATTGTTTAGTGTTTAATAAATATAAGTAGTATTTTTTTGATTAACCTAGGTATATGCAAACAATTTTGTAAAATAAATAGGTACCCAGGTGTCTAAAGAAAAATAATAATAATAATTTTCTATATAGATAAGAACATTTGAATTTGTTATGACTTACTTGCACCAAGAATCTAGCATAATCCAAGGGGTGAGTAATGGATCGCAAAAGACATTTTGCTATTAAAGAGTTTCTGGAATCACCATGTTCTTCCCTCCTACTGTCGTTGATAGAATCCATTTCCTAATGTAATTTTTAAAAATATAAAGTACTAGTGTATATACATACAATACTATACACAAGTACTATACATATAAAACAACTCAAACAGACTAATATTTGGAATATTCAATATTGCTAACTAAATAAGTAAAAAACATAAATAATATATATTTATTATAGTATTACCTAATGATTAATTTCAAATATATATGAGTTATTAGTTAATATAAAAGACTTGTACTAAAAACGAAAATCAAACATGAACGAATTACGAGATCGAAAAATATATTATTATCTTGTGAAATAACAGAATTACAATGCTTTTCATTCCTTCGTGAACAATTTAGGACCATAGAACATAGAAAAGTAAGATTTAGAATGGCTGATTAACATTATCATGTTATAGAATTATTTTCCCGGCTCCGGCTTCTATGACTAGTGACCTTGACATTTTGATACAAGCCCTATCAAACAGGGCTTTTTTTATTGTGATAAATGTTGAATTTATCATTTTACCACTGTTACCGCGGTGACCAAGACCAATGATCATCATTGTTCACAAATATAACATGGATAAGTAATTGCCAGAAAATGATAAGAATATAATAATAACGGCTGAAAACCTCATGTGGGATTTTTATTTGAAAATAAACCCAGATTTTAACGCTAAACCACGTCGAATAGACTTACTTCATGTACAATATGTTAACATGGAATTGAGGAAATAAAGCTGTTTTTTTTTAGATTGTAGCAAAGAATGTATTAGTTATATATTAGACATATACGTGCGACACTATTTCTAAAAGGGAATGTTATCTAGATGGTACTTTTGGAAGGTCATTTTTTGATTTTCCAAGCGGTTTCCAAAATATCTGGAAAAAACCATGATAAAACGTAAGAATAACGGAAAATTTATGAAAATAATGCTTTTATTATTTTTCAATTTTGTTATTTGTTGTAATTTAGTTGAAAATATTCGTAGACTTGAAATTTGGACAGAAAACTTATATGTGCCTTTTCTAGACATGATGAAATTTTTAAACAATTTTAGCCATTTTTGTATTTTTAGATATTTTAATTTTGAGAGTTTTGTACGTAATTTTTATTCGGTAGGTACTGTGTGGTAAAATTGTAAGACTTGAAAAAAATGCTTGAAAATTTAACAGGAGGTTAAATAAAAATTGGACGTTATGGTCAAAAAAAATTTGAGTTTACTGTAGTGTTTTTTATTATAAAGGAATTTTAAAATCAAATATTGACGAAAATCGTTTGTGTAAAAAATTATGTGGTAGAAATCTAATTATTCAATATTTTGCTTTGAAGATATGTATATTGCCCATTTAAGAACGATAATGAAGTAAGAATTGAGCGGACTTAGTTTCGAAATTTGAAGTTCTGATATTATGCGATATTATATCATATATTAAACAGCTCTAAATTGTCCACTTTAATGTATGTCTATCGTAGTCTAATGGTACTTTAAGCTCATTGGTGTCCTTAGGGTTTGCGTGTTCGAACCTGCGATTTGGAAAAAATTGTTTGCATTTTTTATTTATTTCCCTTTTACCTAAACAGGAGAAAAACAAATAATTTTAAGTGTATTTAGAGACCTCGTTGTGGCTCGCTAGGACTATTTTAATCTAAAATACCTTTCGGTTTGTTGTGCAAACTTCTACCAGAAATCTTGCTCCGATGTATTAAGTGTAGCACCTTTTCTAAAATGAAATTATATCTGTATGGTACCTTAAGGAGTTCAATTTTCGATTTTCCCAATAAATGGGAAAAATAAGAAAATGTACGAAATATATTAGTAAATATTATGACCTTCTTTTTCTGTATACAACTTTCTACCAGCAATTTCGCTCCGTTTTAAAATTATAGCACTTTTTCTGAACAGAAATCTGACTCTGAAGGTATTTAAGGGAGGTAATTTTTTTATTTTCTCTATAAATGGGAAAATCGAGAAAAACGTAGGAAAAAGGAAATATAGTCATAATATTAAAAAATACTATTAAAGAAAATATATAATGCCTATGAAATTATTTTACTATATGACATATATATTGTTGACAAAGCATCGCTATCAAGTAAATTGCACTCAGAATCGTATTTTCGTTAGCAATGGTTTATCGTTGCTTACAGAAATACATTAAATTACCTATAACAGTGGCTGCACCCTGCCCCATTATCCTAGGACGTTTTTTTTTCTTATTAAAGTGTACGTATTAATTTAAAACGGGGACTATTTTTTTCTAATACCGTTTATACTTTATATCATAGACATATTAATAAGTTTTTGGCTTATATTATGCGATCGGGTCACGTAACCGAAAACGGTTTTTCATAAGCTCTATGATCAGAGCTCATAGCTCAAACTATAGCGTGTGCGAATTATGTTACTCAATGGTGCGAAGACCGTGAACACGGCTGATGTATTTAAAGCAGAGGCATAATCAGATTATCACCAACGGGAAGATGGCCGCCACGTTATTATCTATGGCTTTTGTTTATTTTGTATTTTTACTATGTTAATTATTATCAGTTTATAGTAAATATAAAAAAACTTACTGATAAAATTATGAAGTGATAAGTTCCAAAACAAAATTACAATTATAATCGAGATAATAATTAGTATTAACTAATGAATTATGTTATGATTAATTATTTGTGGTAGAATAATATTGTTATAGTAGATTAAACTATGAGTTCTTTATAGTGAATTTTCTATCAATTGTTTTGGATTGAGAAGTCGTAAATTATTAATAAAAAGAAAAAAACGGTGTTAGAAATTATATAATTCTGTAAATCAGATGCAGTTAATTATTAAATTTGTTTAATTAATGTTCTTTGCTATGGAGGAGCAAGATATGGATACCATCATAGATTCAAGCTGCCGTGAACAAATTGACCGGGGTATAGAATATATATATAAATTAGATAATTTGAAGTAATTTATTTAGTATATTTAATATTTTAAAGATCAATCCATTCTTGGAAATGTTGAGTTTCAAAATGAAATTGATTCTGGGACATCTCCACCTCAACTTGATTCTTTTCAAACCAATCAATCAATTTCTAACACTCAAACTGATTCTATTTTAGCCAATGTGTCTGGTATGTTGTTATTTCTCAGTTTTGTTTTAGAATTTTTAATAGTTATATTATGTTTCAGAAACTCAACGGCAAAGTGTAATAACAGTATTACCATGGGGAGCACACAAAGAACGTTCACCTTTTCCGAATGTAGACACAGATATCAAACCAGGTGAATATGTGATGCGTACATTATTTGCAGACTTCACAGTGCAGGTTGAACGAAAAATGGAGGAAGTAATGATTGAGCCAGAGAAACCACTAATGAAAATTTTACAACGTGGGGAAGATGCACAGTTTGATCAATTATTAATTGCATTTGGCTCAGTTGCCGAACATTGTTTGCCTTCAATACTAAAAGCTCTTTTTGCATGGTATGATCGACAAATTGGTGTATTAGACATCAATGCTACAGATTCAAAAAAAATTGAACTCAAAGGCAAAAAGTATGATTAAGTTTTATTTAATAAGATTTATTAATTTAATTTAGTGCAAACAATGCTTTGAGGGCTTTAACTCGTACAAAGTTAAATTTTTTCAAAGCGATTGTGGATATCTATAGGACTCTTGAATTTTATCTTCAGTTCGTCCCTATTATAATTTTGATGTTATGTTATTTTTAAATAAATATAATTTGTATATTGTTATGTTTTATTTCAGTGATACTATTGACAACAAAGAAATGGAAGTAATGGGGGAACGGAGAGATCTGGCAGTAGAATTTATATTTTGTTTAGCATTAATAGAAGTATTAAAACAGCTACCATTTCATCCAGGTCATGAAGATTTAGTCACATATATAGAGAATTTATGTTTCAAACATTTTAAATATCGTGAAGGGTATGTGCAACTTCTTAACACCATACTATAATTTTTAGTATTACTAGAACTGTCCAACTTGAACTATTAAAATATGGAAATTTTTATTCTTGCGTAAAAAAACAATGTGTACATTCTATATCCCGAGTAAATTAGGATTATATAGTTTCCAGTATTATATTATTATTGTGAATTTGAGAACAATAATAGAACATTCCTTAGTACATTTTCAAATAGATAAATGATATTTCTACTTCATTAAGTATTTAACTAATTAATTAATTAATAAGTTTGAAGCTAGTACAATATGTAAACCAAGTTACGGTAAATTAAATCATTATTAAAACATGACCATGTTGTCATATGCAATCAAATTCTTTATTATTAAAATAAAAATACAAAAATATCAATAAAAATCAATGAAGATAATTTGTTTTTTAGTTTATATTATTTAAGTCAAATTTAATACATTATTCCATTATTTCATTTAATTGCCAATTTAAATTTTAGCAAATATGTATAATATGTTGTGTATTTAAAGTATAGTACAATAATATTATAGGCTATTAATAATAATAATAATTATTATTATTAGGCCATATATGGTTAAGCATTAACAGTTTAACCTAATTGTTTGCTAATAAAAAAAAAACAATATTTATTTATAGAGCACAAAGCTGTCCTAACGCCCCAAATATACATATGGTGGCTGATTTATATGCAGAAGTTTTGGGCGTTTTAGCTCAGTCTAGATTTTTGTCTGTAAGAACACGATTTATGGCTGAATTAAAAGAATTAAGAGCCAAAGAACCATCACCTCATGTTATACAAGCTATAATTTCATTATTAATGGGAATGAAATTTTTTAGAATTAAGGTGCTTGTTACATATTTTTTGAAATTTTTTAAATTTAAAATTTAATAATATTTGGTTAACAGATGGTTCCTATTGAGGATTTTGAGGCTTCATTTCAATTTATGCAAGAATGTGCTCATTATTTTCTAGAAGTAAAAGATAAAGATGTTAAACATTCAATGGCTGGATTATTTGTGGAAATTTTGTTACCTATGGCCGGTGTAAGATTTTAATACATATTTTAAAGTTCTAGTTTTTTAATATATTTTAAAGTTACTTATTGTGTTTTATTCATATTTAGATTGTTAAAAATGAAGTGAATGTTCCTTGTTTGAAAAATTTTGTTGAATCCCTTTACTCAACAACATTAGATATGTGTACTAAATCAAAACACAAATTGTCATTGTTTCCATTAGTAACTTGTTTGTTATGTGTTAGCCAAAAAGTTTTTTTTTTACAAAGTTGGCACTATTTTTTGGCTATGTGTTTGTCAAATTTAAAGAATAGAGATCCGAATATGTCAAGAGTAGCGCTGGGTAACTTAACATCAATTACAAATTTTAATATTTTTCTTATCAATATGAATATTTGGATATTTCATTTTTAGAGGCTCTGTATCGATTGTTATGGGTATACATGGTAAGAATAAAATGTGAAAGTAATTCAGCTACACA